AGCATAAACGATGTCCATCAGCACTCTGGGTGCTGTGCGCTGTACTGGAGGTAAAAGTAAAGTGGGGCCTACCACACAAAATGCCAGTATAACTCAGTGTTCTACACAGTTCAAAATAGGATACAGTTGTTTAGTGTATTCTGAGAGTGGGTAAGATGTAGAACAGGAAATTTACTTGGTTTACATAAAGCATACAATTTAGTAGCTTATAACTAAAATAATAATGTAGCAGTAAACTAGAGCTAACTATGTATTAAAAGGCATGCCATAATAATTCAAACTCATTCCATTCTGATAACAAATCTCAGAACACATTTTTGCCTTTGGTAGAATCCTAACTAATGCCATAATTTTTATAAGCAAATGTAGCTTATATCACCTATTATTTACAAACAACTGTAGATATGAGCTACCATTTATTCTTTCAAATACTTACCTTTTTCATTCTTTTTTTTTCTCTCATTTACTCATTCAACAAATGTTTACTGAGAGCCCACGACATGTCAACCCTGGGTGGGCACTGAGGCTACTAAGGTGAGCAAGACCAACACATTTTTTCACATGACTAGACAGTGAGACAAACTAAAAATCTATAAAATAATGGAATGGTCTTCAGAGTCTTCGAGTGATGTCTGTAGCATATGCAAATGAAATGGGTCCATTTTAGGAGGGTTTCCAAACAGTACTTCTAGCAAGTGCCCTAGAAGTCAGCAGGAGTCAGGACAACAAAGTTATTTCTCTGTGAATTCTACAGGCTCCCATGGAACTGTAGCTGATGTCTGGAGAGAGGAAAGTGATGAAGGGCTAGCAAGGACCACCTGTTCCTAGATCCTCTAATATTTTGTGCCTTGGCTAAATCTTACCACAGAATTGAAATCTTCATGAAATTGCTTGACAGTTCAGAGTTTGTTTTGTGAATAAATTCATCCCTGAGGAAGCAGGTCTTGGAGCACTTTTAATGACCATATAGCCTTCCGATAATTTTATTTACATGAAATAACATTAGGATTTAAAATTTTATTCTAACATTAATAATATTAATGTTTAATACTTCTAATACAGAGAATTTTGTTAAAATTAAGGAAACTGAAAAAATGGAATGGCTCAGTATATTTTCAAAAATATCATCCATTTCTACTCATGAAGTAAATGGCCCTTCATCAAGACTTTAGCACATGAACTACAATCACTGAGGTTTGTTTTAAAATTGCCCCGTGTATCTATGTACACAGATGGGAGAAACAGAATATAGATAAAATGAGACTGAGTTAATAATTAATGGAAATACATGGCAAGAGATGGATCCCTTAGACTGACTGGTCTCTCTCCCTTAAAAATTTTCCCCAAGATATACCCAAAAGACTGTTACTCCAGAGGCACCTGCACATCCATGTTTATTGCGGCACTATTCACAATAGCCAAGTTATGGAAACAGCCAAGATGTCCCACCACTGACGAATGGATTAAGAAATGTGTATCATATACACATGGAATTTTAATGCAGCCATGAAGAAGAACGAAATGTTATCATCGCTGGTAAATGGATGGAATTGGGGAACATCATTCTGAGTGAGGTTAGCCTGGCTCAAAAACCAAAAATCGTTATGTTCTCCCTCATATGTGGACATTAGATCAAGGGCAAAACACAACAAGGGATTGGACTTTGGCACATTAAAAGCGAGAGCACACAAGGGAGGGATGAGGTAGGTAAGACACCTAAAAAACTAGCTAGCATTTGTTGCCCTTAACACAGAGAAACTAAAGCAGATACCTTAAAGCAAACTGAGGCCAATAGGAAAAAGGGGAACAGGTACTAGAGAAAAGGTTAGATCAAAAAGAATTAACCTAGAAGGTAACACCCACGCACAGAAATCAATGTGAGTCATGCCCTTTATAGCTATCCTTATCTCAACCAGCAAAAAACCCTTGTTCCTTCCTATTATTGTGATATTCTCTCTACAACAAAATTAGAAATAAGGGCAAAATAGTTTCTGCTGGTATTGGGGGGGGAAGAGGGAGGGGCGGAGTGGGTGGTAAGGGAGGGGGTGGGGGCAGTGGGGAGAAATGAACCAATCCTTGTATGCACATATGAATAATAAAAGAAAAATGAAAAAAAAAAAAAAAATAAATAAAAGTATAGGGGAAAGCACCATAAAAAAAAAAAAAATTTCCCCAAGAGTAAGTTAAATAAAGAAATATTTCAAAACAAATTGGAACGTCACAAAACGATTTAATGGAAGTGAAATAAAATGCTGGGGGTCGGGGGAGGGAGAAAGATATGGTGATAAAGATAACCTATGATTCACTTTGGTGTACGTACCAGTGACACAGAAGTAACTGGATCAGAGAAGGTTTTGTGCGTGTATGGTTGCTTTGGCCTTCTCCCTGAGAGACTCTAAGATAGAGTCACACTATACACCTGGACACCATGACCACTGTTTATCACATACCTATTGAAAACCCACTATGTACAACAAATGGACTAGGCTCTAGGTGGTCAGTAAAAGTAGAGTTTATGGTTTTGGAAAAACAAGCAAATTCAACATATATTCTCTACTTTTCAAACAAAAGCAAACTTGAGGGGGTCTTACAGTCAGTACATATTTGGCATCAATGGCTTGAACCTAGCTTCATCAACGGTATATTAATTCATGCTTATATTGCTCAATAAAGTAACAAAAGTTTACTGTATTAGAGCTACTCTATGCTATTGAAGAATATGTAGGGATATAATGATTTTTGCAACATTTTAAATAAACAACAATAAAATTAGGAAGTTCAGGCGGGTATGGTGGTACACACCTGTAATCCTATCACTTTAGATATGAATATCATGACTTATTTTCCTTTTATTTACATTTTCTATACATATCTTTTCCAAAGTTTTCTCTTTTACACTCCTTCTTTTTCTGAGCCACACCCTCAGCTCTTCTAGCACTATTAAAGCTGAGGCAGGAGGATGAGTTTGAGTTAACCTGAGCTGTATAGCAACACCCTGTCTCAAAAAAACATGTCTACCTGGGTTCCCTACTTTCACATACCCCAAAAGACTTGCTAGGTATAGACATGTCCCTATAGACATTGCCCCTATTCTCTCCATCTTTTGAAAAGCTTGCTATAATTTGGATCTGAAATGTCCCCTCAGAAGTCTTATGTGATGGCTAGAACTTTTGTCAGATAGTGGACCCATTAGAAGGGGGGAAGGGAGGCTAGTAGGAGACCTTCAGGTCATTGAGGGTGTCACCATGGAAGGACTATGAGACCCAACACCCTCTTCTTTCTTTTTTCTCTTTTGCTCTCCGGCGATGAGTTTTTCTCTGTTACACACTTCCACCATGATGAGCAGCCCATAAGCCCAAACCAAAGGGTCAACTGTTCACAGACTGAAACCTCTGGAAGTGTGAGCCAAAATAAACCTTTACTCTGCAGAAGGTTGACTATCTCAGGTGTTTAACTAACATGGCATTCTTTCTTAAGTTTCACTTATACTTCTAAGCATCTATTCGAAGTCAGTTATTGCTCTAGGCACAGAAGCTCGGGCCATAAATAATACTCTTGGCCCTAATCCAGATTTTACATTTCCCCCAACCCCCCAGTATCTCCATTCACTCAATAAACTCCTGAACAAGATCTCCAAGGTGGAAACCACCCTGAATCCATCTGATTCCTCTGGCCTTCATCATCTGCCTCCTCCAACACCTGCCACAGGGGGCTAATTAGTTTACCTATGCCTCTTAGCACCTATCACAATATCTGACACTCCTTTATGCAGAATGCTTAATCTTCTAAAAATACCAATCACTGAAGCATTATTGTACATTAGATACGTCTCTAATAAACTAATAAACAACTGTGTATTATTAACACAGAAAGTAGTTCTTGACTTAAAACCTATGTATGTAGCTTTAAAAAAAAACTTTCAAAATATTAAACCATTGCTTACACATTAGGTATAATAAAGCTCACATATACACACTTGTAATTTATGAGTTAAGTAAGTTTGATACCATAGTGAGGGCTATAAATGCACAAAAAACCTAGAGCAAATATTACACATGCCCTTCTCAGAATATTCTTTTCATGATGCTAAATGCCAGAATTTTATTCAGGGACTCTAGCAAATAAGCCAGCTGCCTGCCCAAAATTATGGCACAGAAGTAGAAATGGCCTTGATCCTCCACTTCCACTTCCTCTGACTGGACTTTTACACAATAAAAATAAGTCAAGATAATTTAATTTTCAAGAAGTCAGCTGAATTTTCTATGTGGAGCAACAATTGAAATGAATGGGTCATTGATAAAATATCAGAATTCTTTCCCTTTTATTTTTTGGCAGTACTGAGGTTTCAAAACAGGGTCTGGCACTTGCCAAGCAGGCATGCTACCTCCTGAGTCACACCCCAAGCCCTTTGAATTATTTTAAATCATGTGTCCCATTTATGCCCAGGACAGCCTGGATCACAATCCTCCTGTTTTTGCTTCTGGTGTAGCTGGGGTGAGAGACACATACCACCACACCCAATTTTATATTGGTTGAGATTGGGAGTCTCTAGAATTTTTTGTCTGGGCTGGGATCTCCACCTCCTCAGTAGCTAGGATTACAGCCATGAGCCACTGCCCCAGGCCTAGAACTATTTTCGTAGTTGCCATAACATAATCCTTGTAAATAATATGTGGTGAGGACACTCTTTTAAATCATTTTGTGTTACTCACATTTTAGCTGTAAGTCTATTGGTAAGGAGGACTGGGAAGTTATATCAGAAGTTCTGGGGTATAAAAAGCTTTTGAGGATGATTATAACATTAAGCATCGTTAAATACTACACTGTGTTCTCCACTTACCTGTCCAAATCTAGAAAAGCTCCTTGCTTATTTGCTAGAATGCAACCAAATGTAACCTTCACTTTCAATTCTTAAAGTAACTTGCAGCCCAATAAGCCTTTGACACTGACATGCTACTCTCGCCCTCTAACCTCTTCAATTTAATTAACAGAGGCTTTACCTTGGGTGGTGATTGCTGCTGCCTGTTGCTATTTCCTGAATGTTGTAGCCTTAGAGCCCGGGGGATAAATTCAGGAGCCAGTGGATTCAACACATAAGTCTTCTTTAGTTCTAAAGCCTCTAACTGAGCCTTGATCTGCTCAAATGTGATCCCATGTAGGCTGTGATTTTCATGACACAGAGCAATAAACCGCTCCCAAAACTTCCTACAGAAAAAATTTAGAAGATCGGGTTACAATTTCAGTGGCTGAGATCACAGTAATAAATGTAAGAATCTAAACGTAACTTCAAACTCCACTCAATAACAATCTGATTATAATGTAAGTATAATCTTTCTACCAAATCACAAGGCTTCAGAAATTTGATGCTCCAACTACAGTCATGCCTAGTAGTATGATACATACAAAACAGGCTCACAAGTAATTATGGCTCATCAATGGAAGTAAGACGGCCAATGCACTACCATCAATGCTAATACAGAATGATGTATTTTGTTATCCATGAAACAAGTAAGGTTATCAAAACTGATGGTACCTCAATTTATAGAAAATGTGTACATCTAGACATACTTATATATACATACACAGTCATGCTCTGCATAATAACTTTGGTAAACTGAAGGCATATAAAACAGTGGCTCCATAGACAGTATCACCTAGTGATGTCATAGTTGTACTAGTCTATATAAGTATACTCTGATGTGTGCATGATGAAACGAACTAACAACGCATTTCTCAGAACATACCATCCAGCAGAGTATTTGAACTACATTCATAACGAAGATAAAACTTTACCACTACGGATATCTACAGGCTTCACCAAGTCTCAGCACCTCCCTACAACATTAACATATTATTAAGTTTTTTAAAAAATAATGTTGGTTAGAGAACCCAAGTATATCTCTACATTGTGATTTCTACATCAGGTATTTTAAAGAGCATGACCTTACTTTTAATCACTGAACAAAAACATGAACACAAGGTTTGATTTTGATTTTATGTTAACCTCACTTCTAGGATCACCAAAAAAAAAACCTGAAAAAATAAATTGAATAAAAATCAATCAATCAATCACTTGAGGTCCTTGGATTATAGTATGTGTGATCCTGTGTGCACACAGGCACATCTCTACACATATGTGAAATGTTTCTACTTCACCAGGTAAATGTGAAATGTGCTAATGAAGAATCCAGCTAAAGGAAAGGCGTCTCCAAATACAGTAATGTGGGGAAATACTCTCCTTGTGTCACTGCCCTCCATTCCTGCCTCCCCCATGTAGCACAGATCTGTCGTGCACATTTATCACTTCCTGGGAAAGGCAGGCAACCCTGCGAGAAGGGCCTGAGTTTTGAAGTCAATCTGACAGCTGTTTGGTGAACCACATAATAGCTCCATGACCCTGGGCAATTATTTAAACTCTTTGAATCAGGCTGAACATTTAAAATGTGGATAAAACAGGTACATTGCAGGGTTGTTAGGATGACTGAATGAGGCCCTGTGTGCAAAGCATATAAGCCAGCACCTGGTAGAGAGAAGGCTGTCAATAAACAGCAGCCACTGCATCAATGTTTGCCAGTGAAGGAGGGAGAAGTTCACCACATTTAGTTCAGGCTAATAGAAAAATTCTGCTTAAAAATAAAACAAAAATGAACACTGACTGACTTCTAAACTGGTATAATATACACAGTAATCACTTCTGAAAAACTTGATTGATAGCTGGGAATATTATGTTAACTTTTTGTAAACAGTGATTGAAAGATGAGTGGGAAAACTGAGAACTCAAACTACAAAGAATTCACTGCTCCATTTTTACAAGGTTCCAGAATCACATTATATCCTCTAGATTTACTTATACTGTGAGAATAACTTCTAATGAAGTTACCTAATTTAAAGCCAACTATCAACTACTGGGCTAGAACCAAGATTAAAGTACCCAAATAAAACAGGTATAATCACCAACAACAAAAAAAGATAATCAACATTACCAGTTAGCTACAGAATATATGATCTCCCCCCACACACAATTCATTATTCCCCTGGAAATATTCTGCTTAGCACATAAATTATTCTCAGTCCTTGGCATACCCCAGCTTTGCAGTTAGAAATAAGCAAGCAGCGGACCTAGCTTCAAGTTAAGAAGTAGCCCTGGGCAACTCTGAGAGCAGTCTTCCTGAATTCTTGACCTACTTGCTCTGAGAAAGTAACAGTTTATGTCAGATCTCATGCAATTAACAGTATAGTAGGGCTCTCTAGGAAGGAGTAATGGTTTCTTTTAAAAGTATTCAGGCTGACAAACAAAAAAAATATTCACGCTGGTAGACATTTGGAATTACTTACAAGGGGAGCCCAGCAACAATGCACCTCCACAAATTTGCCCCCAAGAGTATCCCATTCTATGTGTGTTGTAATATAATCAATTTTAATACAACTGTATTCAAATTATAAACAGAAACACAATGTTAAAATACAATGGCAACACTCTAACTAAATACACTTTGAATGGATACTAAAGTAACTAAAATAAAATTCTCAGAATGGGAGCCAAGCTGATAAGACTCCTTAACATGCTTTGTTCTATTCATTTATAACTTGGAGTTAATAACTTCTTTCTCAAGTTTTGTTATTAGTGGCTACAAATGAGTGGTAATTAATTTTTCAATTATGAATTAAAGTCATGTTACAACAGAACTGTTTATAGGTAAGTTATGAATCCTTCAAGTTCTATTTTTTAAAAATAGCTTTTTCTGGTTATTTTTCCTAATGCAACCATAAATTAAAGCTCTACTTGATTCCTCTACTACTCCCCTGTAGAGGATATTAACTTCTTTGAGGTCTTAAATTCAAATACATGCAGTTTATTCTTAAAGGTCCCAAATTGTCTCCTTTCCCAGAGAATGTTTTTTTCTTTCTAAAACACAAAAGCAGACAATAAAATGCTATCTTATCTATACTGCAACAGAAAACATGAATTATAGAGTCCTTTCCTAAGAGCTGTGTCTGTTTTAACTTTAAGAAATCAAACAAGAGATGGTGGAGTGGCTCAAACAGTAAGAGCACCTGCCTAGCAAGTGTGAGACAGTTCAAACCCTTATGCTGCCAGAAAAAAAAGAAATCAAACAATTACCCACTGCAGGTTCAAGACAATCTACACCTCTTTTTACTATTCTAAACTTAGTGAGAAAGTTAGTATTCTACCTATAAAATATATAGCCTGTCATGGTTGTGCATGTGTATAATCCCAGTACTCTCAGGAAGCTGAGACAGAAAGATCACAAGTTCAAGGCTAGCCTGTCTACATATGCATTCCAGTGTGCAGTCTGGGATACATAGCAAAATCCTATCTCAAAAAAGAAAATTCCCTAGCATATTTTTTTCTTTTTCATACAAAAATATTATAAATTCCTTTTCAATTGCTATTTAAAAAAAATTGTTAACACAGTTTTTCAATACTGCAAAATGCAAATCTTTGGTACTGGTTTCTACAGTTTAAATTCTTATTAATAAAAGTAACAAATATATGAAGGACTTTTTTATTTATATTTTAACCATAGTCTAATGAATGCTAACAATGGTGTCCAAAGACAATTAGTGACCATTTTTAACCCCTTTAAGATATTTAAATTTTAACCAGATACGCAAAATTCTTTACAACGAAAAAAAAAAAAATAATTACAGAAGGAAATTCATCAAAAAATAGAACTAAAGGAACAAGGGGAAAAAAGAAGGCAGCATGCAATACAAAATTTAATAACCACCAAAGATACATACATGCACAAAAAAAAACAAAACAAAACAAGCCCTCAAGCCCCTCGCTCTACCTGCTCCCTCTTCCTAGACCACTTTTACCCTAGCTCACTTCCAAGTCACCCTCTCAGATAGGCATCCTCTGACCCCACCATTTGTGATCAAAAACCAGTCCACCTCACACCCATCGCTCCTAATTGCACTTCATGTTCTTATTTTTTCCCCGTTAACTTACCAGATAAAATACTACACAATACTGTTATCTGACTTTGTTGTCAGTCTTCCTCTTCTACCCAATAAAATGTAAGCCCCACAAGGACAGACATTTTTGTCTGTTTTATTCACTGATCTATTTTCCAGTGGCTAGAAGATGCTTAAAATATAAAAGGCACTCAGGAAGTATCTGTTACAACTGCTGAACAAATACACAATTATGCATATCACAAATAGACCCACAAAGACCTCTGCATTACCACTGAATATCAGATAATAATACCGTTGATTTTAATTAGCCATAAGGTTGTACAAATAAATACATATATAAGGATACCCATTACTTCACATTTTCCCTTTTAATGTCTTAGGAAGTAACATATAATTACCTGCATCTCCCAATAGAGCACAGAGCAATGGGATCACCCACCACAGCCACCAGGGACTGTGCTCTTGTGATGGCAGTATTGAGAAGTTTATAATTAGATAAAAAACCATAATCTAAATCCTCTGTGGAATCTTCCAGAAGTTGCTCTTTCTTTTTAATTGGTGTCTGTTTATGTTTACAAGTATGTCTTGTACGAACCGTGCTAAGAAACAAAACTCGGAACTGCTTTCCTACAAAAGAAAAATTTGAAGAGAAAAAGTGTTTAGACTGTCATTCTGAATCAACAATACAATAAAAACACTGCATTTTTAAAATATACTTGCTAAATAACATGCTGGTGAGGATGTACAGAAATTGAAATGCTTGTGCACTGTTGGTAAGAAAGTTAAATTGTTCAGCTATTCTGGAAAACAGTGTGGCAGTTCCTCAAAAACTCTACACATGGAATTACCATATATGATCCACCAATTCTGGGTATATGCCCAAAGGAACTGAAAGCAAGGTCTTGTAGAGGAATTTTCACAGTGTTTCATAGTGGCATTATTCACAATAGCCAAAAGGTGTAACCCGAGTGTCAGTGGGCACTTGTTATGTACATACACTGACAGGCTGGATGAATGAAGGCAGGGCTCAAGTGGTACAGTACCTGCCTAGCAAACACAAGGCCCTGAGTTCAAACCCCAATACTGCCTAAAAATAATAATTTCCACCCAATGAATTATTCAGCCTTAAAAAGGCATAAAATTCTGACACATGCAACAATAAGGATGAACCTTGAAGATATTATGTTAAGCGAATAATTTATTATTTTATAATTATGACAATATAAATCATAAAAGAAGAAAATACAACAGCTCTAAGACCTGAAACATTTCTGATCCCAAGTATTTTGAATAAGGATACTGAACTGTGTACTATATGACTCCATTTATACAAAGTTGCTAAAATAGTTATTGCCATACAAACAGAATAGTGACCAGGGATCAGGGGAAGGAGGAAGACTGGGGAGCTACTGTTTAGAGCACAGAGCTTCAGTTTGGTAAGATGAATGGACAGGAATGGACAGGACAGTGATGACTGCTATGCACACATGTGGCTGTACTGTACCCACTCAACTGCACACGAAGTGGTTAAAATGGCAAATTTGATGTTGCAATCATTTTACCACACTAACAGAACTTTTAAAATGTGACTTCTGGTACCTACCTTTGCAATTATGGAGCCCAAGTTCCCACCCAACACAAGGATCCTTCCTTGAAGCTGGGTTACCAGGCCTCCAGCCAATAGAAGCAGACATAGCTGATTCCACAAAGCAATGATATGGAGTCTGATTTATTTGACATTTTTTTCTTATGTTCTTACAGTAACTTTTCTATTCATTCTATGACAAGTCTCTCAATATTCTTCTGGGCCACACAATGCCAGTTCTTTCAATCATTCCTGACTCTCTCTCAATAGTTTGTAGACTGCTGTCATTAAATCTCCTCTGGGTGATTTCTAGTTTACTTCTAATCTTCTCCTAAAAAATTCACAATTCCTCATGATCTGGACAACATGTAGGAAAGTGGAGCTATTTGTTTCCCATGTATTGGGGAAGTCTTACTTTTGTATATCATACCAGGAAACCTTTTTCTAGCGCTTGTATCAGTTACTTCATATATGTAAAAGTACAAATTTTATAGTAAATAATTACATGAACACAAATTAAAAGAGTTGCTGATCACTACTCACTGAGGGAAATGGACACATAAAATCTGTGTGAGGAAATTAGTCCTCAAAGGCAGTCTGAAACCAGCACATGCTGAATGCTATTATGACTGTAACGAGGGCTTACTTATCATGTGACATCATACAACTATGACTGTGGGAAAAGCCAATTTGTAAATACTTCTTTTATTTGGATATAAAATGTTAATAAGCATGCAAATAAATTTAACTGCAAAATTTGGCATTCAAGAGGTTGGTATGAAATGGATATATAGTCCCTGGTCCAGAAAAGTGATGTAAAATCACGTAAAAATTGAGTATCTTTTAAGAGAACACACTTTAAAACACAAACATTTGAGTAATTTATTCTGCTTAATTCTTACCTTGAACATTTAGCACCCGTTCTACATTAACATCAGATAATCTCTTTTTTCGAAGCTCAGCACGGATCCTAAATACTTGATCAGCATACGGAGTTACCACACCAATACTGCCATCATCTAACTTCCCCCACGCAACTGGCCACTTCCTTCTTAACTCTTCGACACGCTCCACCACTTCAAATACCTTTAAACACACACACTGAAGTTATCACTGGTATGTGGACAGAGAATACAGCAACTGAAATAGATTTACAAAGAATTCCATTTTAGCAGGTATCATTAAAAAACCTACCTCTAAGTGGAAATAATGTTTTGCTGATGTGAACATACAGTGAGAAAAAATAAATTTTTATTCACATTTCAAACACTAAAATTCTCTAATAATGCAACCAATGAAAACCCAAAAATCACAGACAATGTAATTAGCAGTTGACCTCATCCTTCATCCTTCATCCAGCCCCCATTCTTAAGTGGAAAGTTTAAGTTCCTGCATAGGGAAGAGAAGAAGGAAAGGATCATGAAACCTAGGGAAAGCAGGGGAGTAAGTCCCTACCTTCCCAGGGCTTCTCAGTCCATTCTGTCCAGATCAGGCCAATGAAGCCAGCCAATCAGAAGATCCCTATCATCAGTGTACTGAGGCCCAGCAGGACAAGCTCTGGCACTGCCTCCTCCCCCACTGATGGAACTAAGAGGATCAGCCAACAGCCATCAGTTAACACCAAACCACAGGAGGGACTAGGGCAAATTTCTATCAGAAAGACAGACTTTCAGTAGTTACTGCCTTCCTGAAGCACAAGTTCCGCCAGGCCATTTCATTAACTCCACAGTTTACAGAGCAGAGTATTTTTGACCCTATTTACAGGACTCTGGTTTCTTTTTCTTTGTGTGGTACTGGCGATTAAGCCAAGGGTCTCACGTGTAAGGACAGCACTCTACCCTTGAGCCACATCCTAGCCCAGATTGACCTATCTTATATTTTAACTCAGTGAATTATCAGTTCCAATGTCTGGCAAAGTGGGGATATAAAGACTAATAAAAGCATGTTCCATGCCCTCTAAGAGATCAGTGATTTTATGGAAAATAGTCTTAATTTTATTTTGATGCATAAATAAAATATACATCATATAATATCATTTATATTAAATATATATTATATATAATAAGCTTAATCCAGGGTCTGGCAAGACTCCAGAGGCATATAGATAGCAGAAGGAGAAATTTTAGAAAATGTCTTTTAAATTATTTATTTACTATTTCTTAATGACATCTATTTAAATTTACAATGTTAAATACACTTAGTAAAATTTGACAGCTTTTATCTTTTCAAGACCTTGGGGATTACTGGCTAAGAAGCAGTTCCCACTTACAGATACAAACTCAATGAACAATAAAGATAAGAATACAGTAGCCCTATTTTTATAATGATACAACAGCAAGTGCATCAAATGTATAGACTGGCCAAGGAGCCTGAAGAAGCCTGAAGTACAGACTGGCCAAGGAGCAAAGTGGACTAAAAGTGGGTTGGTAGTTTCACCACAAGAAACAAGAAGGGTGCAGCTGACTCACCTGCAATAAGGAATAAAAACAAAAAGCAAACAACAACAAAAAACCCACTGTCTTTACCCATGTGGTTAGAAGTGGGGGTAAATTAAACTTGGGAAACACCTCTATTGCACTCCCCTCCTCCAACAAAGCTCCTACCACTGAACAACACATATCCATTTCTCTGTTTTGTCCCTCTCTTCACACCCCTGTATTCTAGGCAGTGTAAAACTATAATCAAAATGCCTACATTCAGAATGGTGGCATGAGAAGCTGGTTGAAATTTTAAAAAGACTCTGGAGATTGGTAAAAACTTACAAGAAAGTGAGAAGCATGTACTCAAGAAAAACTACAGAATCTCAGTGAGAACAGTTAGAGCTGAGGTTTCAAGTTGTTAGGCACTGCTCCCACCCCTCACAGCCCTATCTTACAGAACTGGTTCAGTGGCTGATTTCCATCCAGGCAATTTCCATCTCCCCCAGCTCTCTGGGATGAAGTAGCTATTCCAGGTGGTTCTGGCAGCTGCTGTTTTCCACAACTCCATGCTGCAGAAGGCCTATACTGAGAAGGTGGCAGTAGGTAGGCAAAGCCTGTTCCCCTATCCCCATCTGCTGCTACACAGAGAAGATCTGAGAGGTACAATGCATGAAGAAGAGTAGTCCCCCTTTTCTACACAACTCTGTACTGCAATGGGTTTAGTAGCCACATTGACAGTTTCCATCCATCCCAGCTTCCCAGGACAAAATTAAACAAACAAACAAACAAATAATAACCACCACCTATACTGCATAGAATCAGCAGCCAGTAAACATCAGTAGATCCCAATGTCCCCTAATCTGGGTTACAGAAGATCTATATTGGTAGCAGCAGCTAGATGACAGCATAGATCTCGGTATCTCTCTCTCTCTCTCTCTCTCTCATTCATTCTCTCTCTCCCTCCCTCCCTCTCCCTAACACACACTCACTCATTCACACACAGCTCTCGTCCTAGGGTGGATGCTGATGGTACAGCCAGTGAGGAGTAAGTTCCAGATCCTTCCCCAGCAACTGCTCTATTAAGTTCTTCCCAGGGCAGGGTAAGCAAAAGCCTTAGAAAGTGGCAAAGCTCTGGAACAAGTTATGCCCCCGAGGAGTTGGAAGGTAAAATAACTGCAATGAAAAGTTTGACACGGCATGAATAAGGCAACATGAAGATAAACAGATATTATCTGAAGAGCAGTAAGAGATCATTCTTGTTCTCGACCTCCTTTGAGACAACTAGCTTTCAGTCTATTGAAAGTATATTCCTTTTCTAACAAACTTTGCTATTACTTTCACTACAAAAAAAAAAAAAAAAAAAGGTGAAGGTGAACAAAGAGGCTCCATTAAGTTCACCAACATACATGTAAAGAGAAAACTAAAAGACAGTGGAGACAAAAATGGTATTAAAAATGCCTAAGAAAGTCTAAGCATGGTACTCACATGTATAATCTCAGCTGCTCAGGAGGCAGAGGTTGGAAGAAACGCAGTTAGTTCAAAGACAGCCTGAGCAAAAAGTTCAGGAGACCCTATCTTCTCAATAAGCTGAGTGTAGTGATGGGTACCTGTGGTCCCAACTGTGTAGGAGGCCACAGATAGGAGGAGCAAAGCCTGAGGCTGGCCCTGAGCAAAAATATGAGACGTTATCTAAAAGAAACAAGTAAAGCAAAAGAAGGCTGGGGGGATGTGGCTTAAGTGGCAGAGCACCTGCCTACTAATTGTGAGGCCCTGAGATCAAACCCCAGTACCACCAAGGGGGGGGGGGAAGTCCAAAGAAATGATGCCCAAGAAGTTTTTATAACTGATGAAAAACATTGATCTACACATCTAAGCTCAATGACCTCAAGAGGGATAAGTACTCCTGGATGCCCACCTAGACAAATCATAGTCAAAATGTCAGAAATCAAAGACAGAAATAAAATCTCAAAACCAGCAAGAGAAAAACAATGCATAACTGACAAAAGAGAGTCCCCCTAAGATTAACATATGACTTCTTATCAGAAACAATGGAAGCCAAAAGCAGTGGGAAAATATATTCAATATGCTCAAAGAAAAAACCCAACCAATAGTCTTATATCCAGCAAAATAAAGACATTCCTAGGTAAAACAAATTCTGAGAGAATTCCTTACTAGAAGACTCACCATAGTAGAAATAATAAAGGCAGTCCTTCAGACTAAAAGCAATTGTTACCTAATAGTAATTCAAATCCATACAGAGTGCTGCTTAGTAAGTTATTATGTGAGTAACAATATTACACAATGTAACAGTATATTCTTTTCCTTTCTCCTATTAACTGATTTAAAGAGTAATTGCATAAAATAGTATAAATTGTATAGAAATGGATCATGTATGGCAATAAAAACACAAAGACAGGTAGAAAGTGACACCAAATGGTATCACTCGAAACCACAAAGAAAAGTGAAGAGAATCAGAAATGTAAACACATATTTGTCACCCTTTCTTCTTTGGGAATTTTTTAAATACATAAAACTATATAAAGCAACAATTATAACAATGTATTATTCAGGTTGTTATATGTGTGATAATAACACAAAAAGGGAAGGAAGAAACAGCACTATGTAGGAGTAAAGTTTCCACATGTCACTGACGTTAAAGTTAATATAAATGTGAAGTAGATCCTAATAAATTAAGATATATATATTAGAGAAACCACTAATTGAACAACTAAATGTGCATAGTAAATAATTTAAAGTGTGACTTTAGAAAATATGTACTTAATATAAAATATAGAAAAAAGCCAGAGGAAAATATATGAATCAGATTAACATTAAATGTGGATGAGATAAACAATCCAGTCAAAAGGCAAAGAATTTCAGAGTAGTTTTTTTCTGTTTTTGTTTTTTTTGTGGTGCTGAGGTAGGAACTCAGGGTCTTCACCTTGAGCCACTCCAACAGCCCTTTTTTGTGAAGGGTTTTTTGAGACAGGATCTCGCAAACTATTTGCCCAGTCTGGCTTCGAACCATGAGCCTCCTGATCTCTACCGCCTGAGTAACTAGGATTACAGTTGTGAGCCGCTGGCACCCAGCTTCAGAGTAGATTTTTTTTGTTTGTTTGTTTGTTTTTATTTTTTTTTTTGTTTTTTTTATTTTTTTGTTATTTTTTTTGTTTTTTTAGAGAGTAGATTTTTAAAACCAAACAAACAGATCCAAAAATATACTGTCTAGAGAAGATACACTGCACTTTAGATTGGAAGGTATAAAAAGACCAGAAATAAAAAGATGAAATAAGATATACCATACAAATGACAACAATAAATGAGCTGGAATGATTACCCTAATATTAGACACTTCTACTTTAAAACAACAAAATAAACGTTACTAAGTATAAAACGGGACATTTTATTATAATAAAGTCAACTCACCAAGATACAACAGTTATAAATGCATATACAAAATAACAACAGATTCAAAAACGATGATGCAAAAATCAGGTCATCCTCTTTGCTTCAGGATCCATCATATGCAGTGGGTTGGTTTTCCATAGCTGTACAACATCTTCTCTACTTAATACTTATCATTCTATCTTATGATTATTTGTTTCTATAGCTTGTTCCTTCACATTGAATTTCAAAAGGTTAAGAAATGTATCTTAGCTGGGCACTGGTGGCTCACTCCTGTCATCCTTGCCACTTGGGAGGCTGACATCAGGAGGATCATGGTTCAAGGCCACCCCAAGCAAATAATTCACAAGAACCCCATCTCCAAAATAACCAGAGCGAAATGGACTGGAGGAGCGGCTCAAGCAATAAAGCACCTGTTTTGCAAGCATGAAGCCCTGAGTTCAAACCTTAATCCCACCCAAGAGAAAGAAATACATCTTAACCAGGTGTGGTGAAGCACACCTGTAATCCTAGCACTCTGAGGATGACAAATCTCACAACAAAATAAATAAATTTAAAAAAATCATTTATGGCTTAGTGCTTAGTATATAAGTTCATCATCATTTTATTATTTGTAGGACACAAATTCAGAATCATGATTCTTTTCTCTGGGTTCAGCCTTTCTGAGACCCCTCCTCCCATTTTCTTCTCTTTTCCTCTCTGCTTAATACACTTCTGCTCTTTTGCTCAAAAAAAAAACCTATTTCTTATTTTACCACTTTGAGCACATGATATAAAATTTTTTAAAAATTCCCTAAACAAAGGAGAGTTATACCCAGTCAAAAAAAAAAAATGCTACAAGTATTCCTTCAGCTCCAGATTCTTTAATTTTACTTGTAATCGCAACCTCTGCTTTAAATTCAAGTTTGATGGCAACTCCATGTTAGACTACTTTACTTTCGTAAAAGTAGAATTTAAACCATTCTGCAGTGCCCTCCTAAATTTTAATCAGAATCTCTATAAAAGAACAGATCTCTTTTCCCTTATCAGTGCAACTAGTGGTGCTTCTTGCTCTGTTTGCTCTGTTAACACAAAACAGACTGAACGTCAACTTTAAGGGAAATACCATCCAGAAAAGCCCAGCGCTTCTGAAAATGTTTTAGCATCCAAATAAGCCTAACTAGCATTCAAAAATTCAAAATTTCTACAGTGGTATTTGGCTGCAGTGAACTAGGTTCCAATTTGGACCCCCATAGAAAGACAGGGGCAGTGTGCCTCAAAACTTTGGGCTGCAGTGGCTCAAAGGACCAAAACAAATGAACAATCATGCTCTGGGAAAGGCCAGAGTCATTTGAAATCTCTCTAACATTATGTGTTTAATATTTAAAGACAAGTTTATTTGCAGCCTTTTATTTGTTTGGAAACAGGGTCTCTATGTAGCTCAGGTCAGCCTCAAACTCGTAATTTTCCTTCCTCTACATCCTGAGCACTGGGATAACAGATGTACAACACCAGGCTTTGCTGATCTTTGTGTTTTCTTAATATGAAAAGATATCTTTCCAAAATATTGTTGAATAAAACTGACAATCCAGGACAATGCACTTTATTTATCCCAGATAAATATACCATATCAGTGTGAAGAGAAATAGGGCCCCTGGCAAACATCAACCCTACCTGAGGATGCTAATTAGGGCTCAGCTATGATCCTGGTGCCACGAGCAGGACCACCAAGCCTTCTGGATTTTAGGCCCTTTTTGCCATTCCCTGAAGCCCTCCTACCCCCTACCATGGTTCATTTCCAGGCCAGTGGTTTTCCATCTGACCACAAAAACATTTAAAGAAAAGTTTATCTTTTCCTAAAATTAAATGACACAGACTAAGGAAAATGTCAAGTTTCTTGGCTTTAGGCTAAAATTTTCTCAAGCGGTACTGGTGATTTCTTGTACTGGCTCCTAAATATAGCCCTCTGATCAATTTTTAAAGAGATAGATGAGTTACTATTACATAATAAATAAAAGCCATTACTCTGTAAACAAAATGAGTAAGGACTGTAGAGATGAAAGAACAAGAACCATTTCCCTAATGAGAACCATGCATTTTGGCCTCCTTCAGGTTTCTTCAAGTCCCATTTGACAGCCAGAATCTTAACCACAGGTTTCTGCTTGCTGGCCCCTAAATACTTCACCATGAGTTTTATCTGCTGCCTGATCTTCCCTTCATACTACTCACATTCTCCCTGAAAGCCAGAAACTAGAGAGAACTATGTAAGCTGGAGCACGTGATGGGCAGCAGCACCAACATCTTGGACTGTGTGGTCTCTGGTGCACAGGATTCTGCAAGTCAAGCCTTACTCACTAAAATTGCTCTTTTGAGTATGCACAATAAAATTTAATCAGTGTACTTTAGATGTCTGCCAATACATCATTATTGGCAGATGATTACTGGCTTTTTAAAAAAAATAAAAACATGTGTTTTGTGTTTTATTATTAAAACAAAAAGTAAATCAAAGTTTTTGTTTCCAATAGGAGGTTTACCTTAATTAATCAATGAGAAAAAATTTTACACACCATTTCCTTATAAATGAAATTAATACACAATAAAATGCCATCCCAAAATTTTAAATGAATGTTCAGTAAAACTATACCATGTGATTGAGAAACTGTTAACAATTTGCAAAAAGAACTAAAGTACCTCTGCATTGTTATAAAAAGCTGTGCTATTTTTTTCTTGCACATCTTCCCCTCGTGCTGTAAAGAAAGTTAGTGGATAGAAATCCTTGTGTGCTGGTTGCTTTCCACTGGCCATTAGTTTACCCTCATAGAAAAGCTCAGAGGTATAACTGTAGAGAAAGAAAAGGAGAAAAAAAAAGAGCAATCTATCACAAAGATTAATTTCACACTCCCCACACACAAAAATCACTCTACTCTAATAATATTGCCTTCTGGCCACAACTTAGCTAATTTTTGTCCAAAAGTGAAAACACTTACCAACCAATATTCTGGGGATTTTTGTGTTTGTTTTCTTCTGGTGCTTGAGATTGAACCCAAGGCTTTGCACATGCTAGGCAAGCTCTCTACCACCAAGCTATTCCCAGGCTCAAACATGGAATACTTATGATGCCAATAATTTCTTCAAAAACAATGATAGCAATAACGATAATAATGATAGCATCAATGGAGAAGGCTCCTGGAATATCATTGTTAAATGAATCAATACTGCTAAGATATGAACTCAAAATACAGAAAAAAAAAGAATTTATGACAGTTCCACACTACTTGAGACCTTTGCTAGTGAGGCACCAGTGGCTGCTCACACCTATAATCGTAGCTACTTGGGAGGCTAAGGTGGAGAGGATCGCGGATCAAAGCCAGCCTGAACAAATAATTTTCAAGACCCCACCTCCAAAATAACTAGAGCAAAAAGGACTGGAGGTGTGGCTCAAGTGGTAGAGCCTGATTTGCAAACGGGAAGCCCTGAATTCAAACCCAGTCCCACCAAAACAAGACAAATTATTTGTTAGCCAGCATGTTTTCTTTAATACATACTTCTACTTCTGTGGATCATGTGCCACACAACAAAACAAATTCTTGGTCAATAATGGACCTCATTTTCGATCATAATGCAACTGAAAATCTTCTAGCAGAAGACCCATTCTGTAACAGTGTAGCACAACGCATTACTTACGTGTTTGTGGTGATGCTGGTGTAAACAAACTTACTGTGCTGCCAATTACATAAAAATACAGCACATAACAATTATGTACAGTAAACTGTACTTGATAATGATAATGACTTTTACTACCTAATCTATTTACTGTATTTCTTATCATTTCAGAGGGTACTCCTCTACTTATAAAAAAAAGTTTACTGAATAGCAGTATTGCTGCATTACCTGGGCAGCAGCCTCAGCTATCTCATGTTTAACTGCATCTCCTGAATGTATCAAAAAGCCAAGATAAGAGAATATCCTATGCTGTTTAGGTTGTGTAAGTACACTCTGTATTGTTCACACAATGACAGAACTCCTAATGACACACTGCTCAGAATGTATCCTGTCACTAAGTGACACGTGACATGCATGTCACTGGACACACACAGTGAAACAATGCACATGACTGCAGGACATTCAAGTCTTCAACAATACCATGAATAGGCTTTACTGAGGAAGACAACGTCTAGACTTGACTGCAGCAAATGACTGGAAACAATGAAAGAAGAATCGTATTTGAGATATTAATAAGATTTTATCTATCCAACTGCTTCCAGAGACACCTAACAATGGCTTCCATATGACTGACATAACAAGTTTAAGTTTCTGGTGAGAGCAATGACTGGAAAGGAGCAAAGAGGGGCTTCTGCAGTGCAAGCAATGTTCCGTTTCTTCAGGCAGATGCTGGCCGTGCTTGTGCTCCATCAGGCTGTGACTAGTCACTGAGCTGTCACTTAGGATGTGCTCCCTTTTATAGATATATACTGTATTTAAGACAAGTCTTCTAAAAACTCACTCTGCAGGGAATGGCCTGTCCCTAGTCACATGCCACAGACAGTGCAGAGAGGACAGTTCACACCTACTTGATGATAGCTTCATGGGAGCGGTAGTTCTCACACAGGAGGATCCTGCATGGAAACTCTGCAGGGTAATGCTCATAAAGTCGATCAAGTAATGAAACATGAAGGTTTCTTTCCCTGGCAAATTCGCTGTAAACAAAAGGACTGAGCTGTAACAGACAAACATACAGAGAAAATTTAACTAAACATATGAATAGTAATTTTAACCCACTTTATTAAAAAACTATGATAAAACTCATATGCCAAATTAAACTTCACACACTAAATGCTAGAGTAAGCAAAATCATTATTTTCTATGAACCATTTTGCTATTACAAAAAACTAAAATCTCTAAATTTTCATTGCAATATACCAATGCTAACCTAGAGTTTCTATACATATGTTAATAACGGGCTCATGAAACACAATGATAAATAACTTCTTCGGCAACGTCAGGGGTGCAAAACTGCATAAAAACCGTGAGCTCAGGCCAGGCATGGTAGAACACAAAGATAACCCCAACACTCAGGAGGCAAAGGTAGAACAATCGAGCTCCAGGCCAGCTGGAGCTACAAAGCAAGACCCTGTCTCGATAGATAGATGGATAGATGGATGGATGGATGGACGAACAGACAGACAGATGGACAGCTAGCTCATGGATCAAAAAGGTCTTTTTTATTGTATGTGTGAAAATGGGGTTTGAACTAAAGGCTTCAAGCAATGCACATAGTAAGACCATGCTTCAATAGATAGATAGATACATAGACAGATAGACAGACAAAGATAGCTTGCTCCCTTGCTCGCTCATGGGTCAAAAGGCCTTTTTTTTGTGTGTATGTGGAACTGGGGTTTGAACTAAGGGCTCAAGCACTGCACCACTTGAGCCATGCCCCCAACCTTTATTTTTCAGATAGGGTCTCACTTTTGCCCAAGGCCGGTCTTGGTTAACTACCCTCATACCTACATAATCCTCCTACATATGCCTCCCATGTAGCTGGGATTACAGGCATGAACCACCATGCCTGGCCATAAAAAATATTTTTAACAATTAACAAAACAACCCTCCTGATCTCAGAAAGTATAAGGTGCCATTCTAGGTTATACCTTTTATTGCTAAAGAACAAAATTAAGCTACTTTAGGCACAGGAACAAAAACACTTTGTTCATCTACATTCAGTTCTTTCTTGGATGTCTTGACAGCTCTAATACTATGTAGGTGCGATCTTAATCAACTGTGGCAAAAGAGGAAGAACTGCATATTGCCACTTTGTAAAACAGATACCTTAATAGAAAAATCATGTTTTTCTTTCTTATACATAGGCATTCAAATAATATAAAACGTGACATATTCTTTGAAATTTTGACTATAATTTTTAATTAAGCTCTTTGTTTCTTGAGACATCAAAATATTAACCCTTCATGAAAACAGGTATTAAGAGACAGGAGCTGGGGGATTATAGGAAAGATCTTTTAAATCTTATTTGAGGGCATGGATCAAGCAGTAGAGCACTTGCCTAGCAAACAAGAGGCCTTGAATTCAATTCCTAGTAAACCAAAGAAAAAAAAGAAAGAAGGTTGGGGATGTAGCTTAGAGGCACAGAGCTTGCCTAGTGTATGTGGGGCCTGGCTCAATCCCCAGCACGAGAGGGAAGGAAAAAAAGGTAAGAATCACATATTCATACTGTACAGAAATAAACTTCAAATTAATAAACATACAATTATAACACTGATAACACTCTTGCTCATTCCACATTGACTACACAAAGAAGGAAAAAATTATGGAATAATCATTTTTCTTCAGAAATATCAGTATCTTTCACAATTAGTACAAAAATACTTAAAGAGTTCTTCAACTGTAATATACAGCACAATTTCATACTGAGAAAGGTTCAGTTATTAACTTAACTCTCCATTTTGTCTCTCTCTGACCTGCCCTTTCTCTTAGTCTATCGTAAGTTCCAGAGTCCTAGGTCTGATAGATACATATCCAACAAGGCGCCTCTTTCAGATCACATCCTGGGATGGAAATGAAGCTGCCCCAGAGCAACAGCAACTTCCTTGACACCAGTAAGACTCTGTATGCTATACAAACTCCTCAACACTAGCCTTGCTTGTTTCCCCTTACAAACTCAAGGCTGCCACAACACCCCCACAGACCTGTCTCCCACTGTAGCCACACTAAAGCAAAACTCCTTTTCCTGTTTCACCATCAATTTCTCCACCTGTTTTCCTCTGGATTTTTTTTTTTTGGGGGGAGGGGTTGGGGGTTTAGGCAGAACTGGGGTTTGAACTCAGGGCCTCTTGCTTGCTAGGCATGTGCTCTTACCACCTGAGCCACTCTGCCAGTGCAACCTGTTTTCCTTTGGGATGAGTGACAGAATCTAGCTTATTAGGACCCCTAGAGCTGGGCTTCTGCTCTGGGACTCCAATAACAATAGGATGTTTTAGAAAATACAATATCAAACACACAATGACTGAAAGGACACTTACCTGCATGTGATCACCAGCCAAAACAATCCGAGTATTTTTAGTTGCTAATGCTAGAGGCATAATGGTCTCACACTCCATGGCTTGGGCAGCTTCATCTAACAGAATGTGTGTAAAAAACCCTAAAAAGTATAGTGCAAACACAGCAAAGCATATTATAGTAGCAATAAAAGCAAAAACAGTTGTTTTATTCACTAAGAATTTAGCTTGTTAATCTGAGTTTTGCTACTTTAAGGACCACCCTTAATTTAGATAATAGTCAATTTAAATAATCACTTAAAAACAGTTATTTAAATAGGTAACTAACCTAGGGGTTGGGGATTTAGCTCAGTGGAAGAGCATTTGCCTGGCAAGTGCAAGGCCCTGAGTTCGGTCCCTAGCACCGAAAAAATAAATAAATAAGTAAATAAATAGGTAACTAACTTAATGATAGATATATAAACACATTTGGTGCTAACCTCTCAAAAGGTTAACAGCTAAGTCAGCATATATGGAAAAGATTTTCAAAGTACAAAATAGTAGCTTTTCACCAAAAGAAGAGCAACTAAATCTATGACAAAACACCAAAAATAAAATAATAGCTCATAAGTAACTTTGCTCTGAACATACATACGAGATACTAAAGAAAATCACACACATCTAATATAAAAGAGAAAGTTATAACCTAACTTGGACTGAAAATAAAGGATATCTTATCAGCAACTTCACTCATCTGATTATACAGGTTTGTTTTTCACATGCAGTCATGCATCCCTTAGTAACAGACATACTCCAAGAAATAATACATTAGGCAATTTTTTTCATTGTATGATCACAGGGTGTATTTAAGCAAATCTAAATTGGTATATAGCCTGCTACATATCCAGACTATATTTGTGTGTGCTTTGTATCTATCTATAAATATAAAATAACCTATTGCTCTTAGGGCCACAGTGAACAAAATAACACAAGATTAAATCAAACAAGAAAAAAATGATATACTGAAGAGACACAGTAAACATGAGATGAGACACTGCTGCAGGAGTAACATACCACACTGTTTTACAGTGAACTTTTTGTGTAATGATAAAAAGCATAGTGGAGCAGCTGGAAAAAGTGTCCTGGGCCTGTAGTCCCAGCTACTCAGGAAGTTGAAGAGGAACAATCACTTGAGCCCAAGAGTTGAAGGCCAGCCTGGGCAACATAGCAAAACCTCATCTCAAAAAAATAAAGAATACAATAAAGTACAGTGAATAAAAAAAAAAAACTAATACATATTACAGTAAATACCTAAACGAGGAACATCAGGAACATAGTCGCTCCTTACCACTATCACGTACTCTGCACAGAAGGTAACTGTAATGCTGTGCATTCACACAACTGGGAGCACAGTAGGTTTGTTTCTGTCAACATCACTAAAACCTAAGTAACACATTCTATTATGACTTTAAGAGTTTAATACCTCTCTAGGAGAGAAATTTTTCAACTCCAAGGTAGTCATATACATGGCCTGTTGCTGACAAAAATCTCATTATATGGTGCGTGACCCTGTGTGTGTGTGTGTGTGTGTGTGTGTGTGTGTGTGTATTTAGTCTAAGAGCATACGTTGGTTTTTTTTAAAATCACTATTCTGCAAAAATTTTTAGTGACTGATAACAATGTCAAAGCTGTATTATCAAATGTTCCCCAATATAAACACCTACAGTAGGAAGTATCCCATTTTTGCTGGAGCCACTCATACCAGGGCACAGGGTTGAGTACAAAAAGAGGGCAAAGGGACAGTGAAAGAAAAAGCACCCCACTACCTCCACCACACTGCCAACTCCCCAGGGTAGGAAAGGGCCCCTCATTTGTCTCAACAGAGTAGAAAGTTACAAAAGCCAGATAGAGGCCACCGGAGCTGCCTTGGGAACCTCATCTCTATCCTGATCCCTTCTTCCCTGAAGATCAAGAGTCCAAACAATCCATGTATCCAGTTCTCTAATGACTATTTTTAGGTTGGGAACTTTCAAAACCTTACTGGCTAGCAGTAGTAAACATCACCACCACTCAAACAAATGTCTAGTGACAGCACAAGTATTAATAATTGTCATCTGTACCAACAGTGGTATAAGCATGATATACACAAGTATTTTTCTTCCTGTTGAGGATCTGTGATTGGGGGCGGGGGGTTGTTCTTTTATTTGTTGAGACAGGGTCTCACCACATAGCCCAAGCTAGCCTTGAACTCACAATCCTCATGCCTCAGCCTCCCACGTGCTGGGATTCTAGGCATGTGCCATCATGCCAACTTGTGCTTTTATTCTAAAAGACTAAGAAAAATAACTACATAACCATGGGATCAAATGGGAAAAGCTGGACTAGTGAAAGAAAATGTTTTCATTAGATAACATATTAATTAAATAGAGCTAAGCTTCCATAAAGAACTGTATAAATTACAAAATTGTTGACTATTATTTATGCTAGAAAAGGCAACTCACATGAGACTTCGTTTTCTAATTTGTAAGCTAACCCTCGACAGGGCTGATATAAGAATTAAATAAAATGAAGTATAAACAACATCAAGGACAAAAGACCCAGTCAACTTCTGGTAAGTATGATTCTACACACTGTATCTTCATAGCCATTTCTTTACTACCTGTCACAAACTGATACTGTTTAGGCTTGTAACCTATGTGGCGAATACTCAGTTATAATCATAAAGCAATGAGACTAACTGTTCAACAGACATACCAAATTTTACATTTCAATAGTGTTGTTCCAGTCAAAGAAGTCACTTGGGACAAAATATACCTCATTCCAATAATGCTGCCATTGTTCCAAACATTTTGAATCTCTGCTTTTGTAACTGCCCTCACCAGCCAGCTATGAGCTGCATGCACAAGAAAGTAAGTCTCATTGCATTAGAGGCATGTGTCTTTCTTTTTTTTCTTAAACCCCTAATGGAGTGCTCAGTCTAATTACCTACTTATTCATCAGATACATCTTAGGAAGATTTTGAAGGCTTTCTAAAATTAAATCAACCTCAAATAAAAAAAAGAAAAAAGTTGGCGACCATTCTTTCATTGAAGATAAACAGAAATTTATCAAGGGGCTGAAGGTATCTATCCCTGGGCTAGGAGCCAGGAATACAAGGTCAAGAGAATAGTCTCTACCTTCCAGGGCATTCTGATGGTCACATGCATTCTACCACTGGCTCTGAAAGCAATTCCAAAAGGAGACAGCAAAAAATATTGAGCAATGTCAACAATTATAATATGATAAAAACAAATGAGTATCCTTCTAAAGCATCTAATTTAAAGTGATACTACTTTTGATTGTTAAGTTTTACCAAATTTATACAACTTCTCATCCCACATCTACTCATATAAAATTAGGTTTTAACATAGTTCCAACACATAAACACATAATCATAAATTTACCAGAAAAAATCCTATCCATGATTGTTTCTACACTATAAAATGCAAAAGCAATAAGACAAAACCTTGAGAAAATTATAAAAAAATAAAAACACTATTCAAATTTGAATTATTCATGTGATCGTTAATAAAGAAATATCACAAGACCAATCAGAGAACAAGTGGACTAGTAGTCACAAAGCTGTGAGAATTAGGGGTTGGCAGATTTTTCTTAGTGTAGGGCGACACTGTCTATTTTAGGTGTTGTGGGTCATACAGTCTCTGCTACATTTACTCCACTTAGCAGCTGCAGCAGAAAAGCAACCATAGACCAACAAGAAGTAAATAAATGAGTATGAACAGATGCGTGTTCAATCCAGTAAAACCTTACTTATAAAAACAAACATCAAGCCACATATAGACCATAGGCTGTAACTTGCCAACCCTTGGTCTGTACTAACTGCATAATCCATAACCCTGTGAGGCACCAGCATCCATGTCTGGAGTGGGCATACCAGGTTCAAGGTCCAGCTGACAGAGGTACTGGGAAGTGTTCAACGTAACCACCACCACTCGATGTTTAAGAATGTCTTCTTTCTGGGGCATCTGAAAGGTGGAATGTGCGCTTGAGATCAAACAGTACTGATGCACAACTGGGTGGACAGTCTTTACCCAGCGATTTCGGAAGTATACCCTATAAAAGAAGATAGCATTTATGATTTACATTTATTAATGTTAACAGCATCTGATTATTAAAATAGTGGCACTGTTGTTTTAAGACTACAATAACTGAAAATTAAATAAATCTCATAATCGCTAACACTACTAGAAATTAATATAAAGCTGCCACTATATCCACTGTAACGTCCCAAATGCCACCCCAAAAATATACAGATATACATATAGACAAATGTACTACAATAAAATACTGAATTTTAAGTGTTCACATTAATCTTGCAACATAATGACAAACTGCAGTTTTATAAACATTTCTACTCTCAAATTATTTTTTCTAAAATACTCTTGCAAAAATATACTGAATCTGTATTTTAATTATTTATGCTAATAAAAACGAAATTGCATACTCATAAGAAATTCAAAAGTTATTTGCATTTTACTTTAGAAAACTTCTTACACCTGTACCTAAAGAGACTTCTACCTGAGCTCCTGGAAATTTAAAATAATTTAAAATTTTAAACAATCAGAAAGTCTTAGAGAATGCAAATATTGAAAAAGTGTATCTCTTCCATTAATTGCAAAAGAAAAATATTATGAGGCCTTGATGCTACAGATCCTAAGATGGCATCAAAACAATTCATCCACCCACCCACTTCTAACCTACCCACATAACAAAGATCTACTGGTTATCTCATTATGCCACAGCACAGAGGCAGATCACACAGGCTTCGGGGGTGTTCATAAAGGCTTTAGCTTCACTCTGAGCTCAATGGAAATTCTGAGTTCAATCAGAATTCCACAGGGAATCACATGACATGACTATGCTGTTAAAGGGCTACTCTGTTTCTCTGGGCAGAACATACTGGGGGACTGAACAGCCATGTGCTAGCATTTGTCTTGGGGTTGTGGGGTAGCATTTGCAGCTTTTTGTTGTGTAAAAGCTAATCCCATGGCCAATTTCAAGCTAATGGCATGATGTCACTGGACATAAACATAGGAAGACATGCACATGATTGATCTCACAAGTCAGTACAAGTTGGCCCCACCACAGCACTGAGTGGGATAGAGGTGAGAGCAGGGTGAAGAAGCAAAGACACCAGTTAGCACGTTATTGCAAAGGTAGGGGCAAGAGAAAATGGTGGCTTGAACTAGGATGGTAACAGTAGAGATATAAAAATGGTCAGATTCACTATTTATTTTAATTTTATTTTAAGAATTAATTTATTTTAAGAATAAAACCAACAGACTTTACTGGTGAACTAGACATTTAAGAAAAAAAGATGATTTGAAACTGAGTGAGGATGGTAATACTTACAAGGTGGTGGTGAAAGAGAGACAGATTTGGTGGGAATTTAAAGTTCGGCTTTGGACAAGTTCAGTAGACATCCGAGTGGAAGTGTCCAGTATGCAGGATGATACACGTTTGGAGTTCAGGAGAATACCTGAGTCAAATGACAGCTCTTGGAAAAATACTAAACCTTGGCACTAGATCAGATCACCTGGACAGTAAGAGCAGATTAAAAAAGAAAAAAAAAAAAAAAAACTGGAAGGAAGAATGACTGATAAACCACTCCAAAATTTAGAGGCTGGGAAAGAGGTGGAATACTGGAATACAGTAAAGCAACTGGAAAGGAGCAGTCACAGTCATTGAAATAGGAGGGAACTCAGGAAACAGTGGAATACTGGAAACAAAGTCAAGTATTTCAAGAGAGAAATAGATAGGATTAACAATGCCAAATGCTGCTAAGAAGGTGAATAAAATAAGATTGACCACAGGGTTTAGCAATACTTTATGACCACGAAATAACGGTTTTTGGGTAAAAGTAGAGATGGGAACCTGGTCAGCTTGAGCAGAATGCAAGTAAGTTTTGCCTTGAGGAATGCAGATAACCACAAGGTGGATTTCTGTTGTGTTTTTTTAAATAGTAGACATAATATATTTGGATGCTGTGGAGACTAAAAGAAGGACACAGAGGAGAACCTGTGTAAAGAGAAAAGGGTAAGAACTCATTCACAAGTAGAGAGGCCTTAGAAGCAAGACAATGGAAGCAAGGTAGTTATAAAGACCTGTTAAAAGGAATGGTGGACCTTCTTTCTGACTTCTTCTAATCCTTTGGTAAAATTAGAAAGATTATCAACTGATTCCTATAATTCTTAATTTATAATTAATAAAACTGACACCAAAGAGCTTACAGCCAGGACGCAAACCGCTATCTCATTTCTTATATCCAAGATAGATTTAGTTACTCAATCTCTCAAGGATTTGGAGAAATCAAATGAGCGAGCACACATCCAGCATGTAGCACAGAACCTGGCACCAGCAAATACAAGTTTTCTACTGCCCTTCACCTAGAGCAAAGTTAACATTAAACCAGCATTCCCAATATTCAGCTAATATTCTCTATATATTATACACATACAAAAAGGTAACATCATGACATGAACACAAGTAATCCAGAAACAAGATATGTTGTTTACACCATCCAAAAATATATATGGCAAGAAGTATTTTATTTAATGTCATCACATGAATTAAAAAGATTCTCTTTACTCAACTTCCACAAAAGTTAAACAAAATCTGACACTTAAAGTTAACATGCCATCAGGTAGCCTAACAATTTCCCTTGCTCAATAAGCCACCATTTCTTACGAGGCTCCTGTCTCTTGCTCTTATGCTAATTATTCTCAGTTGCTATGGCCTGTGTGTGTGTGTATTTTGGGTTTTTTGTTTTGTTTTGTTTTCTTGGTGCTGGGATTTGAACTCAAGACCTTACACTTGCTGGGCAGGTGTTTTACCACTTGAGCCACTCCACCAGCCCATTTTTTGTGTTGGGTATTTTCAACACAGGGTCTCTCAAACTATTTGTCTGGGCTGGCTTTGAACTGTGATCCTCCTGATTTCTGTTACTCAAATAGCTAGGATTACAGGCGTGAGCCACCAGCACTCAGCTGGCCTTTGTATATTTGACTACTATATTTGACTACCTTAAATTAAACTTAATAGACTAAAGACATTTTCAGATATCAAAGAGCTCAAAAATATTATCTCTGATGCATCTAAGAAGGGTTGAAAACACTAAAGAGTATGTATATAAAAGGATGTGCACCACCAAAACAAGGTAGAAAATCAAGAAAGAGGAAGCCTAAGATCCAGAAAACAAACTAATGCAGGAGAAAACAAAAAGAAATTGCCACAATGACAGCAAAGAGAAGTGTCAGGATAATAGAATACCCAGTTGAGAAACGAAGCACAAGGCAAATCTTAAAGAGTGACATCTGCAGAAGAAAGGAATAGCACTGAGAAACTACCTAAGAGTTCTGACGGTGTACAAACTTGTTTCGATTGGCATTAACAGAGCTACTGAAGAATCTAAACACCCTGTCCAATGTCAAAAAAATTAGTCAAATGAAAAGAAAAAAAGATTATTAGTGCTAGAACATAAAAAGAAAGATGCACATTCTTTGTTAGAACAAATAATTTATAGAATCATAATAATGAAAACACTAAAATGAAACTACCATCATAGAAAGTCAACAGATATCTAAGACACAGAAGTTTATATATTATATATACATATATGTATGTATATTATAGAAAAATAGAAGTAAATATCAGAAGAAACAGCTAAGAGAGTCAAAATTATTTGCCCTTGGGAGCCATGTTTGGTAGGCAAACATGATTAAGGAAAAAAGATTTTTGCTACAGACTTAAAATACAATGTAACCTTTTATAATAATGTAGGCATATGATTTTTTTATGAACATAAATACTAACCTAAAACAAAACCTACTTGGGTTATTTCAGACCCAAGAAATTGCCAGTGTTTGAATTTAACCTCTCACTTATAGATGGCTTTCTTAAAATTAAAATTCTCTGGTTTCTCCCACTTACAAAGAGTCTTCATTAAATTAGTCAACATGTTCTTTGAGACCTGGCCTGTCTCTTCCCTCCCTTCACAGCCACACTTCTAGTATCCACATTGCTCTCTCCACTTACTAACCTACTCGCTCCTCTAATCATTAACAATGACTTGCCCTCCCTCCCTAAACAACTTCCATATCACTAAAATCTCTCAGATGTCATGTCTTCTAGGCAGTATCCAGTTCTGATACTGCTTCCTCCTTGAAGTACACGCTGCCTTCAGCCTCCATGTCACAGTAGTTCTCTGCTTCCAGTCTTAATATTCTCGCCTCCGACTCCAGCTCTCTCTTCTCCCCTAACAGTACATTGATGCCCATGGTTTCCATCACCACCAAGATCCTGGAGACTCCAGTGACCCACATGTCTCTCTCCAGCCAAGACCTCACCTGAGTTGAGGATGCCTACCCTTGATAGGTGTCTCCTATGTTTCAGAGGCAGCTCAAATGTACAAACTAATCTCACCACCTGCTAAAATTTGGTCTCACCCTCCTTGAAAGACTTAAAACAGGTTTTTGGGGTTTCTGTTTTGTTTTTGCAGTACTGGGATTTGAACTCAGGGTTTTGCATTTGGTAGGCAGGTGCTCATTGAGCCATTTACCTCCCCCCAACAGTTTTGTTTTGTTTTTAAGCAAAGTGAAAAACATATTTAATAAATGTCTCAGTGAAAATTGTAGTTGAGGAAAGTAATGTAATTTTAAAATACAAGTTTACAGAAAGAATGGTCAAAGTAACAATATTTCTAAAAGACACAAAAATTTTAAATATGTTTTAGGTCTTAATAAAAACTGTTTAATCAGATCAGCAAAGCAGAATTTACCTTTAAATAATCTCTCATAAACTATCTCCTATGATTCCATTTAGATTAACCATAGTATGTGTACCTAAGTATATAAATGAGTAGAACTTAAACTCCAAAGTGTTAGTAGTTTCTTATCTCTGGCTAGTGAGATTATAATTTTTATTTTCCTCTTTGTGCTTTTCTGTATTTTTTCCAATGACTATTTCACTACAAAACAGAAAAGAATGGTTTTGCCAATTACTTATCAACTAACTCCAAGAACCTGCTTCTTCTTCAAAGGAAAAAAGGTGAAGTTCTAAATCTTACTACCAACTTTCTCACAATTACTTTGAAAAGCTACCTCAAGTTGAAGCCAGTAAGAATACAAAGTTTGATCACTAAACCTATTTATTAATACTCTAGCGCTGACTTTTAAAAAAAAATTAAGTACTTTCTCTTCACTTTTGTTTTGTGCAATATTTAAGGTAGACACTGTCAATAAGATCATTCAAAACATATCTAACATCTTTCAACATCTAAGAATAGTGACAAAATTAGACATCCAAGTTCACAGTATAAAATTTAGTCCTGATGATATAGCTCAGTGGTAGAGCACTTGCCTAGCATTTTTCCCCCACAGAAAACCAAATATATATATACATATAATTTTATTATGCATTGAATTTGTATGGAATAATTCAAAATGTTATTACTTAAGACACTGAGAATCCAAAAGACCTGAGCTATAATAGCAAATGCCTTTACTGTGCCTTTCTAGAAAGCAGCAAAGGCAGTTTTCTCCACAGATGACTTTCTTTCCTAAGTTGTAACTGGATCAGAACAAGATGCTGAGCCTCAGAACCATGCACAAAAGCTGTCTTCCCCCAGATTCCTTTGTAAGACCTCCTAATCCTAAATGAAGCTAAAACTGAAACTTAATGCAATCTTAAATGGTTTCTAAAACCTCTATCTTTAAATATTTTAAGCTCAGCTCAACTCTTAGCAATTAATAGAACCCTAAGTATGTATATTCAATCATACTTACTACTATATTTGCTCTTTGACTATTCTCACACTAATGCATTTTCCAGGGCATAGTTTACCCAACACAGTGTGGAAAAAACAGCAAACCCTTCACAATGCCTTACCCCTTAAATATAACCATTCTTCTTCATGGTCACACTTAAGACACTTGGTGCCCTCTTGTGTTCCTTCCCCAGCATCCTGGAACAATTAAAGCTCATCTCCCCAAAATAGTTCATCATTCTAATTTTTCTAATCCATCTCCCAAACCTCACACTTGTTGCTCATGAGGAAAAATCATAAATTAATCTGCATTAACAGAATCGTAGGTGATGCTAATAAATCCTAAGACTTCAATGCACTAATCCTCCTTGGAAATACATTTTCTCAAACAGAAAAACTAGTGAAAATGCAGGGTCAAATAAGAAAATATTTGAGAAGTCTGGGTTTTTTCTCTTTGGTTCCATTTACTAAATGAAACATGACACTTGCATTTGAACATGTTTCTTGCACTGAAACGCTGTTGAGACTTAGGAAGCGGTGAGGTCTGCTAACAGGCAAGTTTCTATGTTTGTGCAGCTACAACTGCACATGTCCTGTACTGCAAGGTAACTTGTTATTCCATGTGCTTAGATGTGCTACATGCAAAGAATAATTTTACACAGTAAAAGATAAGCATAACCTAGTGAAATGTCTATCAGTATCAGCTCTACCACCCCAAACGTCACATGTCCTATGCTAAGTCACCAACATTTGAGGGGGTTCTAGTCCACTGTTTCCAAACCAAGCATACCATGATAATCAAGAGTGTCACATTTCTTATCCAACAACACTCAAGCAAACACAAGGTCTACACAATACAAGCGAATAGACAATTTATCTCCATTAGAGTAAGAACATGGCAAAAATGGTAGCTACTCTACTTTCACTCATGGACTTCAAAAATTGGCATCTGAAGCAAACTAGCTATTGGTGAATTTATCCTTCAATAACTGCCACGTTTTCATGTTAAACACAACCAAATTCTACTTAGTTATTTCTGCTTTAATTTGACTTCTGAATAAAAACAAAATATAGCATAAAAGTCTATACTAACAGGCCATACTACTTTTTCTCTCTTTTTATTCTCAATGCAATTCTAAAATTATTCAAATAGCATAATTACACTTTTCCATGCCTGGGTTCAACTAGAAATAAAAAGTTAGTGAATTATGAGTCAAAGTGGGGTTAGAAATAAATTTTTAAACAATAATTAATGCTAACTTGAACAACCTAGGCCATGACATATTAGTTTGTAAAATGTCAAAACTAAACATTAATTCATATAACAATGAGAACAAATGGCATAATAACCATTTAATGATTCTTTATTGTTTTCTGAAGAAAAGGATTTTTATTCCCAACAATCCTGAATTTAAGTACATTTCATGTCCATGTATAATCAGAGGACCTTACTGTATCTAAAATTTTGATACTTTGTCTCTTAAATGGTAGCAAAAGTAAATACTAGTCAATTATGTTTCATTACAGAAAACATTTCAATATTTAATGCCTCCATAATGTGTGGTCTCCATGAAATTACCTGCATGATCACAGTCAAAACCTCCATAAAGAGCTGTCACTGCATGACAACTTGGCCATGCAAAATGTGCTAGAATTTTAATTAAATTAAATTTGATTAAAATTAATCATATACATATTATTTTATATTAGCTTTACAGGTAAGTATCAAAATTCACTCAGATTGCACAACATTAAAACTTAAAAAAGGATGTCTTTCTGTATACTTAATATTTAAGAAATAAATGGTCAAAATTGTTTACATTTGCTGTAAATGATTTCTTCAAAAGACTTAACTTCCAAATGCCAATGCCAGTTTTAGGTATTTCCAAAGTTACTAAAATCTTTACAGACACCTTTTCTTAAGAATAACAAAGTATGACACAGATACAAAATAAGCCTTAAAAAATACCTGAGAGGTCTTGCCTGGGGATTGCCTGCTTCTACATATGGATGTAAATAATCCTTTATGTAGAGATCAGCAGCACTATTAGAATGGGTGCAAATGAGAATCCTGCTGAAATAAATGGTGCAAATAAAAAGAATGATAAAACACAAAACTATTCAAGCAGTATAATACCAAAAAAAATAAATAAAGCAGTGGCCATCTTAATAGTATCCATTTCCCTCAACCTACTCAGTACCCCTAACATATTATTCAATGGTACCTTTGGGAACTTATTCTAAGCTAAAAAGGCAGTTCCCACAAATCACTTTCAAGTCTATCATATAAAAAATGTATTTTTTTAAAACTCAGCTCTTTGGGCTGTAACATATATCACAATTCGTTAGCAGACTTGGAAGTTTTATTGCTACTTAAACACTATCATTGTCAATTTTTAAAAAACAGTATCTTATAAGCAAATTCAAGTTTTATTGCTTCAGGATTTGGCTTTTTCACTTCATTAATTTGTAAGAGCTGGATAAAAATTGTCTCACAGGCCCTCATTTTGCACTTAAAACAGAACAGAAGTAATGAAAACATGAGCACACATCCACCCCCTCACCTAGTCTCCTGCTGCTGCAGTATGTGCTTGACAGCCTGAGCAAGAGTGAAGGTCTTGCCTGTCCCATAAGGCCCAATGATAAGGACAGGCGGCAGCTGGATGGAAAGTGGGGTAGTAATGGCCAGGACAGCTTCTTTCTGCTTCGCATTTAGCCGAGGATCTAACTGCTCATCCCATTGCCTGGGTAAATAAAAATGTGAGTTATTTTAAACATAGCCATCTTAATTGTGATCAGAACATGACATACAAGTATCCTGAATTTTACTGAGCTATTAAATTTACTGAAATAATATAGTATCTCTAACAACTAATGTTTATTCTAAAATCACCTTTTAGGAAATTACTATAGAATCACTCTAGGACCTTTTACCATATGAATCAAAACTGACAACTCACTGGCAACTAATCTGAAGCAATCAAATGCTTCTAGTCTAATTGCTGCCAAGTTCATAAGTAGTAACTGCACTGTTTCAAAAATGCAATTTTTTCCCTCTGTTACATGAAAACATCAGAAAACCTTTTTTCTGATAATAAGGAAGTAGTTGTGTCTTTGCACAGCAAATAAAATGCAAAGGGGAAACTAACTGAATTTCAAATTCTAATCACTGGAACGTTTTAAATAAGGGAAAAAGAAACATAATTTTTAAAAAAAAAAAAGGAACCAAAAGCCAAATAATATGAACCATTTCCTAACATGTTCCCACACACACACACAAATCATACACATATATCCTACTTTTAAGGATTCAGAACACCTGTCACAGTAGCACAGCTGGCTACTATATTGAGATCTGTCATACAAGTGTCTCTTCTATGACTTGCTTAAACTTCTAAAATTTAAATGGACTGCAGACACTGAAACAGATAAAACTAAGTGGAAAATGAACAGCAATCTTTCTCAACAATGAAAATACTAAATACTAAATATTGCATCAACCATGGTAAAAATGATAAGGACATGAACCAAAATAGGAAAGTGTGTATAGAGACTCTTAGAAAATTTGCCAAGTGCCTACAGAATAACCCTAAAATAGAAGAACAGGTTTTAGACAAGAAAATTCCCTATGAGACAGAGATCAGGAGGACCAAGGTTCAAGGCCAGCCCAGGCAAAAAATTAGCAAGACCCTATCCCAACAAAAAAGCTGGGCATGGTGGCTTACACCTGTAATTACAGCTACATAGAAAGATCCTGGCCCAAAACAAGCCCCACGTAAAAATGTGAGGCTCTACTTGAAAAATAAGTAAAGCAAAAAAGGGCTGGGGACATGGCTCTAGTAGTAGAGCACCTGCCTAGCAAACTCAAGGCCTCCAGTTCAAACCCCAGTACCACCAAAAACAGAAAACACAAAGGGAAAGGAAACCAACATGCTCTACTGGCAAAGAAGAAAGGGAGACCTCGTTCCTTGATGGCACTGCTGTAGCAACCCTGGGCCACGGATATCTGGGCTTATACCTCAACTGGATTCAGCAGGGTAGTTCAGAAAACCGTTACTTGCATCCCTACCTGACCACTATGATTCTTTAAAACCTGCCTCCGTAGTTCCTTTATCTGTACATGGAAGTAATGATACTTGCATCAGATGATTATAAAAATCAAATGAAATAATACATGCATATATCTATATAAACTAAAACATTCACTTAAAGCTGTTTTGGAAAAGTGAGTGATAGAAGTTCAATTAATTTTAGTTTGTTTCTATATTTTCTGAAAGACTGGAAAAAGGAGGTATTGCTTGACTAACACACATCTTTAAAAACAAAACTTAAAAACACATTCTAATCTTTTAAATGACTTTGATGAATTTAAGAATGAGATAGATAAAAGACTATATACAAATCTAAGAGATTAATGACAAACTTACAGGTGTAATTCTGAAATATGTCAATATCTCTTTATTTATGCAACCCATTCTGCTTATCAATTGTTTCAGTGTAAATAAGTGCTTCAGAGCAGATCAGAAACTTTATCAATGTCAGTCATCTCTGTAATTTCTGGCAATGAATAATGAATATGTAAAGAAAGCCAATGATTAAAACAAATTGTATTTATCATACCACCATTAATAAAGCAAAGAAGATTTACAGTAGAGATGATATAAATCATCTTTGATTTTTACAATTTAAAACAATATAAAGTCTCTCCAAGTTTATTCTGAATAAAACAAAATTTCTTTTTATTCCTAGAACCAAATTAATTCCATCCTTCCTTGCACTGTCCTACTGCACTGCCCTGGCCTGCTGCGCTGTGGTAATTAATTTAAAGACTGCATAATCATCAAGATTAGTTTCTCCACCTGATTTCTCTCTCCACAGCACATTATTCCAGAAAACATTCTGAATGACTAATTGTCCCTCAGTATATTCCTAGATCCAGAACCTTCCAATTACTTTACTACTTTTTTTTTTTTTTTTGGGCTTGGGGTAGGGTGAGAAGTGCGGAATGGGACTGGGATTTGAACTCTTCACACTTGCAAAGCAGGCTACCACTCGAGCCACACCTCCAGTCCATTTTGCTCTGGTTATTTTGGAGATGGAGTCTCACAAACTATTTACCTGGGCTGGCCTCATACTACAATCCTCCCAAGCTCAGCCTCTCAAATAGCCAGGATTGCAGGCATGAGCCACCCGTGCCAGTTCCAGTTACTACTTACATCACAGCCTTTCCTGTTTGAAAGTTTTCTGATGCTTAACATTTACTTACTTTTGTAGTTAACACAGTCAGTAGGATTTGAGTACATTATACAATTTTCAGAAGTGAGCACATCAAGTAAAATTACCAAAAAGTTTACTGGTGTGACCTCACATTTGAAACCTATTTTTTTTCTGTAAACTTGAAATTCCTATTAACATAAATGTGTTGAGGGGGAACAATGTATACACATGAGAGTAAATGTAAAAATGGTAAAATAAAATTTTTTTAATGTGTCAAATATTAATCATGTGCAAGACCCAACTGGTGTTCAAAATAAATGAAACATGGCATCTTACTTTACAAAGCTCAGTCTAGAGAGAAAAGTAGAAACATACAAAACTGAGGATTGGAGACATGGTTCAAGTACTAGGATACCTTTCCCCCTGCAGAATGAGGTCCTGAATTTAACCCCAGTACCGCAGAAAAATGAAAAAACAAAAAGAAATACACAAAACTGACTGACAGAAATCAACTGGAGAGAAAATGTGCTTAAAAGCCTAGCAAATGGCAGGAACTCTGAATATTTGTTGAAACAATGAAAGTGAAGAGTCAGGCTCATCTACTTGAAGACAGCACTTGCGCCAGACAAAACAGTGAAGGATGGGGAGATCTTCAACAGGCTAATACTGGACAAAGACTCTTTCAGAGAAGAAATCACGTGAAGAGAAGGAGGGAGGGCTGGGGGGAGAGGGACATAGAACAGTGGCACAGGTTATACAGTTGTGGTTCTGCAAAATGACAAAGATCTGGAAATTGCACAACATGAATATATTTAACACGAGTGGACTATACACTTGAAAAGGTTAAGATGGTAAATTTTGTGTTATGTAGATTTTACCATCATTTTTAAGAAGGAACAAAAATGATAAGGAAGCAAAAAAGTATGAGGAAAATCAAATAAACTTCAAGGCAATTCAAAATAGCTAGAGCAGGGGGGCTTAAGAGGGACGAAAGCAGTCTCAAGCAGAAAACAGCAAAAGGACTCTGAAAAGATGCTGATGGAAGGCACAATCAATGAGACCAAGTGACAAGAGCTTTGTATTAGGCTCGGACTCTATCAACAGAGCACAGATTTGTGAGCACTGAACTGACATGATTATTTTAGAAAACTACTGTACAAGAAATATGTGAGTCGGACCAAACAACAGGGACACAGATGAAGGACAGGAGACCAACATAAACATTACAGAAATAATCCAGGCTGAAAGTAAGGACTGGCATGCGAATAAAAAGAAAAGAATAGACACAGAGAGGCTGAGATGTCCCTGGATTTTTACAATTAGGAAACCACTGGTTACTTTCAGGAGCATGAGCAAGTGGAAAACAGAGATCATAGTAGAGAGGAATACTGGAAACATGCAGAACTCTCCCTCTCAAGAATCTTGGTAGCAAGGAAAAGAAGGGGGATACAGAAGTAAGGGAAACAAAAAACACAGGAGAGGAAAACTTAGGGTATTGTGTTATAAGGTATATTGTTATTTTGTTCTGCTTTTTAGGACCAGAAGAAATGAGATTATTGAGGGAACTAACATGTGCCACTTCAAGGCCTGGGCACATACATAAAAATGCTCCATGTGGTCCTGGTCCTTTGTGCTCTATCTCCCCCTATCAATACCTAGGATGACTTGGGAAACCATTTATTGAAGATGCCAGGGCCTCCATCAGCATGGAACAGAGCCAACTTACCAAGGCTAGATTGACACAAAAGTAATAAAAACTTTACTGCATAGAACCACTGATATTTTGTTTTTTTTCTCAAAGGTGGAGTGAGCTGAGAAAGGCAGGGCTGATAGAGGACAATAGCCAGTAAAGAGGATGAAAAGAAATGTCCAGTCACACAGTTCTCACTGAGCTCTACTCTTTAAGACAAACAAGAAGTATCTTACTTAATTGCATGTAGAGAGGTGCCCAACACTTTAACCAGAACAGTATTTATACAACCATTAACGTCATAGCAGTTTCTGAGGATCTTCTATCGTACTTTCTCTGAAAGTACTAAATCACAGTATCATCCACATTCCAAAATTACTTTAAATTAACTACTTGAACCAACTCAGAAGAGCCTTTAATTTTCCCATTCAACCTCTATTCAGAAATATCCCTAAACTGCTTGGCATCCAATCAAATTAAGGCTGTGAAGAAAAGCAAAACAACTTCATGTAGACTGTGAGGGAAAGTGAAGCAAACAGATGAACTTCTACCATTTCATTCTAAAGATATCTTCCATTCTTCTTTCTTAACTACTAAACTGTCTCCTGAGGGACACAGGCGACCTTTCTTTAAAAAGTATGCTCCAGCTGACACAGACATTCATCTTAATACTAATACCCTTCCTTTCTGTACCTGTTGGGACTCCAAGGTATGGTGGGAGTCATACTGATGTCTGGAAACAAAACACCATTGTCCTTGATCCTGTCTAGTGCATAATGCATTTCACAGAGGGGTAATCGATTTAATTGAAACTGAAGTTCAACCTGAAATACAAGTGAAAAACTCATTTTTTAAAATGAATTTTTAAAAAGTCTTTAAGCAAACATCAGCACTGGCAGTGTACTAGAATACTCTGTGGAGACAACAGTTTGGAGGGACAAGCTCAGAGATGCTTTTGAAGCATTACCTTATTCTAACAATTATTACTGTGGAAAGTATTCACCTTGTTTATTTAGTACCAGGTACTATAATAAGCATTTTAATGGATGATCTCACTTAATAACACTAACAGTATATATACTATTATTAACCTCAGTGTACATATTAAGGAACTCAGGTATTTATAAATTACATAATCTCTAGATAAAGGTTATCTGATTCCCCATACCGATGAATATATTTGCTAAAATCAGTAGAAAATCTGTGAAATATGCATTGAATTATAACCAGCCATATCACACTGTACAGATTTACTATGAACAAGTAATATTCATCAAGTTTTGTGTTTAAAAAGAAAAAAAGGTTAGCCTTCCAGTTAAATATGGCAGACTGAACATCAGATTCACCTGAAAACCTATAAAGACAAAGAGAACAGAACCAGTCCCAACTGCAGATGAGAAATGCCCCAAGATATGGCTGAAAATAGTTTTTTATCTCTTCTTCCATTGAGTATTAAAAACTCTAGTCAGGAAGCTCAACCTTGCATTAAACTACAATATTCTAGACATTACTTAAATTAAAAAGAATCCATAATGACACACACTTGCAATCCTAGGCACTCGGAGGCTGAAGCAAGAGGATCACAAGTTTAAGGCCAGCTTGGGCTCAGTAGTAAGACCCTGTCCCTTGTCTCAAAAAAACAAAACAAAACAAGAATTCTCATCTGGGCACTGGGCTCATGCCTGTAATCTTAGCTACTCAGGAGGCAGAGATCAGGAGGATTACAGTTCAAAGCCAGCCCCAGGCAAATAGCTCACAAGACCCTATCTCAAAAAAAATCCATCACAAAAAATGGCTGGTGAAGTGACTCAAGGTGTAGGCCCTGAGTTCAAACCCTAGTACCACCAAAAAAAAAAAAAATTCCCAACAACCCATCAGTAAAAGACTTCAAAGTCAACTGCACTTCTGTTTAAGGTAGCAGAAGAAAACCCAAACCAGAAGAAGGGACTTGAGACATTCGTAGTTTAGGTTTTACCTTCAGACATACCTGTGTGTCACAGTCAGGCCGAAGATTAAGCTCTTCACAGCATTCCCTGGATATCCTTAAAAATATATATTCTTTTGTTTTTTCTTCAATAGTAGCTTCATAAACCTTCTCTTTGGTTCCCTGGGTCTGTACTAGCTTTTCTTTAGGGACTGGTAATAAATAAACAGCATTGACTTTGGTCATCACCAGTCGTCCAGCCAAAGTATCTTCAGAAAGTGTTTCAGTAAGCTTGAAACGACCAAAAAGTTGCCCATTCTGGGCATACTTTGCACCCCCAGAAACTCCAGTGAGCATGAAGCTTGCTAGAATCTGCAATTGCACTTTAAGGTTGAACCTAAATCAGAAGTAGAAAACTAGTTTAAACACTTCATATCAAAACCATAAAAATTAAAGAGTAAAACAAGTCAAATATGAACATACCAAAAATTAAACCTTCACATCAGTTCCACTCCACTCAGCTAAAAACGGTATATTCTCTTTCTTCCTTTAGTCCAAGTTGTAAAGAACAAAACCTTCTTTTAAAGTGACTTAGCACCCAAGCAAGTTACAAAAAGATATAAACTTAATTGTGATGAATAAATTATGCATATTCAAAAATGTGTGAGTACTGAAAATGAAACTAAAGGTCACTTTACTAAAATGAAATGTTAGGCAGTAATTAATCTAAAGCCTGTTTGAAGATACCATTGAGACAAGTGAGACTTTAAATCACCTGGAACCTGCAGCAAAGGCACTGTAATAGAGCTGCAAGGGACTATCAGCTGACTGCTTCCCAGGCAGATCCTATCAAAAGATTCTTACCATAAAATTTCTCTTTTCGTAATGTTAATAACAACCAGAATTTTTTTTTTTTTTTTGCATAACTGAGGACTGAACCTAAGGCCTCACACTCTACCACTTGAGCTGTACCCTTAGCCCCCCAGAATATATTTTTATTCACTGCTACAAGGAGGCAGACTTCAGGTAGGACTTGCAGAAAAAGAAGTCAAAGCCTATCTTACTAAACTTTCATTGGGGCACTTTCTCACACTTCCATGTGTATATGTGAGTATGATGCATAGAAGTGTCAAAGTAGCACAGATAATCAAGGCTAATTAATGCAGTCAAGAAATATGGTGAGAAAGACTGTAACTGACACTTTTCCTTTGCCATTCTGAAATAGTACTGGCAATGTAATAAGAAGGAAGGGAAACGGTTTTTACTTTTTCTTATGAGGCTTAAAAAAATTGAATGAAAAAATTAGATTGTTTAAAATATTATACATTCCACCATGGAAAAGGGTACATCTTAATGCTATTACTGAATTGTTTTCTTTTCAATTTTCTTTTGTACACATGACATCAAGAATGTCCCATTGAACCTTAAGGCGGGGAAAAAAAACACTTTTTAAAAATACTCTTAAGTTTTAGCCAGACACAGTGACACTAAAATCTGCAGTGAGTAAACTAGAAACTATCACTATTAACACTCACTAAATTCTGTCAACTGAATTAACTTGAATTTCTGCAGTAATCTCATTTTTCTAGGTACCATATTTTCATTTCAACCACTTACATTATTTATTCCCTGACAAAATCTGGAAATCTTATAATATTATTCCTCAAACTCTTAGGCAATATATTAAAGTGTTACTGTTACATATACTTAACAACCTGTCATCCCAAAACACTTGATCAAAAGGTAGTAGACACACAAAAAAAAAATTAATTCCAAAGTTAGGCACAGTGGCTCACAGCTGTAATCCTCGCTATTCCGGAGGTAGAAATCAAGAGGATTGCAGTTCGAGGCCAGGCCAGCCCAGGCAAAGTAGTTCAAAAGGCCCCCCTCAACCAGTAGGTAGTCATGATGGTGTGTGCCTGTTGTCCGAGATACACTGGAGGCGGAGATCAGGAGAAATGCAGTTCCAGGCCAGCCTGAGCAAAAAAGTTCATGAGCCCCCATCTCAACAGAAAAGGCTGGGGAGAGTAGTTGGTGGTACCTGTCATCTCAGCTACGGTGGAAAGTGTAAAGAGGAAGATGGTGATCCAGACTGGCCCAGGAAAAAAGCAAAACTCTATTACAAAAATAATACACAAAAAGGGTTAGCAGTATAGCTCAAGCAGTAGAGTGCCTAACTCGCAAGGGTAAAGCCCTGAGTTCAACCCCAGTACAGCCAAAAAGCAAAAAGAAGAAAAAACCAACTAATCTCACTATTTTAGAGCAGCAGCAAGAGATTCTGTGACATTTACTTCTCTTATAACAAAACCTGCAGTAGAGGCAATAAAAAATAAAAATCCTAAGAATCACAGGTTTTCCTCAGATTTACCATATGATCAAGACACAGACATTACAGACTTCCTACTAGGAGTTACAGATACTGTTACTTAATTTTTCTAAAAGATTGAGAGACTAAAACTAAATTTCATTATCTCTCATAGGTATTAAGATAGGCTTTCTGAAATTTAGTAACTCAGAAATACCTAAAATACACAGTATACCTTATAATTAACAAATAAATTTCTTTCTATCGTTACATGTCACATTTGGAAATCAACCTTTAAGGTTACAGAATTCCTAACCTTTCAGGTTATGGTTGAGTAACAGACAACCAAATTTTCAAAATATTTAAAACCATACTTGTAGCTAATAAGAAACATAGCTCTATTAACCCTAGCAATAATCAGAATATATCTCTTAAGTTATACTTTAACTTTTAAAAATGTCAAAGCTACATAGTGAAATCTACTTCATGAGCTTTCTACCTTATGAATAACAAAAATCAATCAAAGTAGTAAGATAATCCCCAGACCTACTGAAGCAGAGAGAGGACTGAGGTGACCAATAAAAACTGCACCATCTTCATGAAGAAATGTGCAGCTCCCCCTGGGCAGGTCATGTCAGAAACTAGTACTGAGAAGCATGCACAGCGACCCAATTAAGCATGCCACCACAGTTTAATGGTTTCAATAGCTGCAGCTAAAGTCAATTTCCTTAGAAAACGTATCTCTTAGAATTAAAAATTTTCACTTTAAGGTAGATTCATTGAATGCATGTATATTAACAGATGGCCAAGGAAAAGCTTAAAAAATAACCTTAAATGAACTCAGAAGCTTTCTCTAAAATTTAAGTGAAATAAAATACATCATCCTTAATAACTACACATCTCACACAAAATCTTAATTTCTAGACTAAAATTTAAAATATCCTCTCTAAAAAAGAAAATATATTCTATTACTAAACTCAGGCTCAATCCCAAATATATTTTGTCTAATCTTAAAGCAAACACTATCCCTTGAGATCATTTTGAGCAAAATAAGCATGGTGGTGCATCCTTATAATCCCAGTGCTGAGAAAATCACTTGCGTTCAGGAGGTTAAGACCAGCCTGGGCATCACAGCAAGGCTCCATTTCAATAATAAATAAGGACTGGCAGAGTAGCTCAAGTGGCAGAGTGCCTGTCTCGAGGGAGGAAAGAAGGGAAAGAAAAAAAATACGCACACACAAAATCGGAATGGCAGTGGGTGAGGTTTTGTAATGGGCCCATCTTCACAACTAGTAAAAATTCAGTAGTTTTACTCCATCACATGGCTACATCCTAATTGACTTCACTACTCTTTGGAAGACATCTGTATGTAGACATCTTTATCTTCGTCTCCGAATTTCTCTTCAGGATGACTATCCTATAGAACCACTACACCACAAGGTTCAAAGTTTCTAAAAATCTTTAATACAAACTGCCAAATACCCGTCCAGAAATATACCAACACAATCCATCACCATTGCTCACATCATACTGCTGACATTTCAAACCCACTGGCCTTGGTATGAAAGCCTTGTAAGGTGCTCTTAGTGTGAACTTTCCATCACTTAGCTTCAGGTTTGGGGGGCTTTGTTTTGTTTTTTTTGTGACAGTATTGGGGTTTGAACTCAGAATCTTACCCTTGCCTACCACTGTCTACCCACTTGATCTATGCTTGAAGCCCATTTTGCTTCATTTTTCAGGTAAGGTCTCAGTTTTGTTTTGTTTTGTTTTTTTGCCCAAACTGACCTGAACCACAATCCTACCTATGAATTCAGCATAGCTGACATTACAGTTGTAGACCACCACAATGATTTCTAATTTTTTTGTCTCAAACTGCAATCTTCCTGATCTCTGCTTCCCACATAGCTGAGATTACAGGCGTGAGCCACCATTCCTGACCTGTACAACTTCTTTTTTTAAATGTTTAAAGACTATTTCTACAAGGAAATTACATTGTGAAAATTTCACAGATGTATACAGTATACCTTGAACAAGTTCACCCCCTCCATTATATTCCTATAGTCCCTCTCCTGCTGCCTTTTCAAAGAGTATTTGGTGGGTTTCATCATGCTATCTTCACAAACATACATATAATATACCTCAAATCTCTTCACCTTCTAGTACCCTTTTGTCACTCTCCCTCCACTAATCCCCCACACACACCCATAGCCCCCCTTTTACATTCAACATTCATGTCCTGTTTTCATTATGATTATTTTAGACCTAGATTCCATGTGAAAAAAGACATGTGAAATTTGACTTTTTGAGCTTGGCTTATTTTGCTCAAATGAGCTCAAGGAATAGAGTATTTGTTTTGCAAGCTGAAGATCTGAATTCAAACCCCAGTGCCACAAAAAAAAAAAAATTTCATTAGAACAGTCTATAGACACAATTAATAAATGGTGTGGTGGGAGAGGAATTTGAAGTCAGCCTGGGCCACACAGTAAGACTCTGTCTCAAAATAACAAAAAATAAAATAAGATGTCATAAATGACCCGGGTATAAACATCAAAATATTAGTTTTAAAATAATGAAAAATAAATTATAATGACTGTATATAATAAAATGTCATGAATAGGGTATAAACATCAAAATTATATTAGTTTTAAAATAATGAAAAATACATTATAATGACTGTACATTTTACATGTACTTAATTTGAAATCAGATCTTTTGAAAGGTTAGATCATATTTAACCTATAAACAGAACAGCACGGTATCTGTAAGTTTTCACTTACTTTTTCTTTTCTGAACAAAACCTTAATAAGTACTCACAAGCTATTAATAATATTGATGATAATGTACCCAAACAGCAACATGAAGAAGAAAACTATGTTGGCTGGCTGTACTTAAAAAGTAAAATGCTTGCATAAATGCTCTCATGTCTCACACTGTGGTTCAATTTCAAGGGCCATCTCCATTAATGGTCACCTCGGCACCTCTCCTTCTGTGCTCATCCTCTCAGCAAGCTGCGGAGAGCTGGACCCCTAAGAGAGGCTTAGCAAAGACTGCTGAAAATGAACCACGTACCAAACACGGCTGCCTTGCATTTTATTTAAAGATAAAATACACAGTTTACTGCCTGCCTTCACTTATGCGCACCTCCATTTTAAAAAACAAAAATACCACTCAAAGGGGGAGGAGAAGAGGGAAGACAAGGGGGAGAGAAAAGGGGAGGGGGGGGAAGGGGGAGGGAAGGGGAGGGGAATATTCTCAAGGAACTCACTTGCTGACTTCTTTATACTGGGCTATCTCCTCGATATAAAGAAGGTCATGCAACCGAGACTGATAGTTGGTCTTGGTCAATGATTTGTCTAAAACAGACTGGGTAAATAGCTGGTCAGCAGAAAGAGGAATTTGGTATCTGATAAGAAGGCTCTTCTCCAAATCAGTAGTTTCATTAGGTTCAAAATCTATAACAGTCTTAGAAGAAGAATCCCACCGCTTAGCTGTGGTTACTAGCTGTTGTTTTGCATGCATCAGGTATTCAAGATCTAAATGGAAATAAAAACAAAACATTTATATAGGAACACATTAAAATTCTCAATATATTATACATCTAGGTAAGAGAATTTCACATACTAGAGCTAAAATTATTAAAAATAAAATAATGCAAAAACTGAGTATTTTCCCCTATCAGAAATATTTTTTAACATTTTAATGAAATAATGCTATTAGAAATCCACGTAAAAGAACATCTTTCTTTCTTTCTTTCTTTTTGGCAGTCCTGGGGGTTGAACTCAGGAATTTGTACTTGCTAGGCAGGTACTCTACCACTTGGACCACGCCCCCAGCTCAAGAGCATCTTTTTATACATCAGGAAGGACATACCACAAATGGTTATTAACTTTTTCAATGCAGATTAACATTTAGAATTTAACTCTTCAGTCAAGACAAATCTGATCTGTAGGAAGAGCTAACAAATTCCTCAGAAGATAAATTTGACAAGGTGAAAATAATCACTTCTGCTACCAATACCTGCCCCATAAAGAACAAAAAGATTAAAAAAACTGAAACATTAAATCATTTCCCAATGATTAAGAATAGTGAAACTATCTGTAAGTCAGCTCACTACAACAACAATCTTTACATGTCATACACATGTACGACACTGCAGATTCCTCATCAAAATGTGATAGGATGCTATTTGAATGTCACTTCTAAAAACTCCAGCTAGACTCAATAAACATGTATAGTAAACAGGGCACAATGCCAAAATTGGGTAACTGAAAAAATGCAGCATATAACCCGCATAGGAGAGCCACTGGAACAGACTCAGAGTGTGACAACCCCACTTTCAACCTATAGTATATGCTACTTTCTACTGGGTACACCTATGAAAATGAAACCCAACCAAAAGGAAAAAAGGACTCAAATGACTCATTAGGCCAAGATCCAGTTTTAATAAAAATATAATTCTTATAATTTAATATTGTAATTGGAAAGATGTTTCACTGTTCAGGTTAAAATCTGAAGAAGTAGTAAAAAGTTGAGACAAAGAAGATCAAGTCTCCAAAGTACAAAGACAAGTTACCCTGATCTGTCTTTTAAATGAGAATATATGCATAATTGGTGTATCTTGCTTAGCAAGTGATTTTCCAAAATTTGTTTGTTTATTTTCTGTGCTGGGGATTGTACCTAGGGCCTAGCACTAGATAAGCACTCTATCATTGAGCTACACCCCATCCTTGATTTTGTAATTTTTAAATGTTACATACACATTGTAAACATATTAAGTACAGTCATCCACCAAGAGAAATCCCTCTATAATAACAAATATCCTCATAGCTTAATAAAAATAAAATCTAAAAGTACAGGTCCTAATTTCTAACCTTTGCTCCTTCAAAAGGTATTTTTCCATGTTAGTTTACTTCTCAAACAGTAACACGAACCTAAATATTGCTATGTAAAGATGATCTGCTCATTAAAAACGCACAGTATAAAAACACTCTGGGGGCTGAGGAAGAGGTGTTTGCCTAGCATGCACCAGGCTTATCCCTAGCACTCCAACAAAACAAAAAATAGACAAAAATACTCTACACTGATAGTCGGTTTCTGTAGTAGCCTCACAGTCAGAAGTTTCCTAAAGTAAACTAATCCCATCTTCCTGAATCACTCTAATATTGAGTCCTATCTATTCACTCATTACAGCATAGCTGAAAAAAGTATTTAAATTATACAAATGGCAACACTCCTGACATAGATCCTCGTTATCATCAAAATAGAAAGGTATATACAATTCAAAAGTCAAAAAGAGAAATAGCAATAATACAGCAACAAACCAAATAACTAGCTTTAAAAAACAAAAAAAAGTCAGACACCAGTGGCTCACACCTGTAATGCTAGCTACTTGGGAAGCTGAGATCAGGAGGATGGAGGATTCAGGCCAGCCTGGGTAAAAACTTCATGAGACCCCTTCTCCAAATAACCAGAACAAAATGGACTGGATGTGTGCCTTAAGCAGTAGAGTACCTGCTTTGCAAGTGTGAACCCCTGAGTTCAAAAACCAGTCTCATTGCCTGTAGTCCTCGCCACTCAGGAGGCAGAGATTAGGAGGACTGCGGTTTGATAGTTCATGAGACCCTATCTCGAAAAACCCATCACAAAAAAAAAAAAAAAAAAAGACTGGTGGAGTGGTTCAAGAAATAAGCCCTCAGTTCAGTCAAGCCCTACTAACTGAAAAAAAAGTCAAAAAAAAGTAAATAAACAAACTGCAGAATATCAGAGAATGTATTTAGTATGTAGTAGAAGGGTACCTAACTACTGTTTGGGGGTAGGAAATTTTTATTTCTTAATTATGCTTTAAATTTTGTTTTATATAAATTAATTCACATTATGCTTAAACTAATACTATGTTCACAGACTTTAAAGTTACCAGTTATTCCAAACATTTAAGTACTTGGGGCAACAAACCTAAACCAGTAGAGTTCTTGTTTATTTTTTGGCAAGGCAAACACTCTACCATTTGAGCTATGCCTGGCCCTGGCAGAGCTTTTTGAAAAAGCCTTTTTTGTCGCTGTATTGTTTCTTGAGACAGGATATTATTATGGCCTCAAATGTGTAATATAACCAAGCTGACCTGAAGCTTGAGCTCCTCCTGCCTCTGCCTCCCAAGTGCTAGGGTTACAGGCATACACTCCCACATGCAGATCTAAAAAAGCTTTTTGTATGACCTATTTAATATGTAAACCAAACTCCATAGAAAATAGAACTTTTCTACTCTGCACTAGAAGTATTCGGACTTTTTGGGAAAAGTGGAATGAGCAATTTTTTCTCATCTATTCCCATTCTAATTTTAGGGAACTTTTTTTAAAAAGTGTCTTGTGCAGCTAGCACAATTTTAAATCAGTTCTCGAAAAATGCTAAATTTGATCATCCCAATTACTTATTTTTTAATGATACAATGTAGGAAGCTGGGAGAAAGAAGAATCTTGAAAAAAATCCAAGTATGCCAGCATCAAAAAGTCGTACCTGTAAATGGCCAGCGACTACTAATGATACGCTTTGCAAAATCTATTTCTCTTGCCTTATCTCATATGAACCTGAGTCACACTTCTGCCTCCATTCCTCTGATTTGTAAGAAGAAATGTATTAAGTCCGTGTGATGACCCACACAACTTAAAAGTACTTAAAGGTCACTAGGTCTTATCAGTCCCTCCTTAAACAGAAGGAGGGGAGGGGAGAACTCCCCATGCAAACACTGGTCATGACTTCTACCAGGCACCTGGCTGTCATCCCCAACAATTAACATCTGAACTAGACTCAAACACTGCTCAGGGAAGTCTGAGCCAGTTCATCCTTGGCAGGCACTTTTCTTCAACCTAATTAGGCTGAAATAATATGCACACTGGAAAGATAAAAAGTGAACAAGTGAGACCAGTGAAGCCATTTAAGGAGAACTTAAATTGACTTATCAACCAACTCCTGCATGGATAATCTCAAATCAAACCTGAAGGAAATTATGAACCCATGGAATGTATTGTCCTGACGTAAGCAGATATATTTTGTGAGAAATCCAAGTAATGATAATGAGAATATATCTAATTTTTTTTAAGCTAACATAAATAAGGGAAGGATTGCCACCGTCTATTTTAAACAACTGGCATCACTAGTCTGTCACAAGATGAACTTCCCAATTTCCTACCCCTCTGATGCTCAAAGCAGCAGCTTCTCACTCTAGCCACAAGGTTACTATTCTAATAGAGCATACAAAGGCTTACTTTGTTTTGAAGCATGTTATGCAACCAACTTAAGTATTTTTAACAGAGCTGGAGAGTGGACAAGATAAAGGGGGAAAAAATAGTGTTCTAGGTCCCAGCACAAGGGCTGACTCTTAGGACACATTTGATAAATGGAATTTATTAAAAACAGCTATACTTATTTTGTAATAGATAATGAGATGAAATATTTCCTAATCCTAAAACGTGACACCACACTTCCTCAGAAAATACTTTGGCCTGTGGAGTTACAACTCAAGACTACCCAAATTAACAATAAAATAAAAGCCCAAAGTAATCCCAAAATGCCACTTCCCCCATTTAACTCAATGTACTTCCTGGCCCCAAACCTGCTACCTGGAAGCAACATCACTGTGTCTTACCTTGCCAGACACTAGTGGTTCACTCTCTTAAAGAGACTAACAAGCCAGAAACTAGCAGTTCATGCCTTCAATGGTAGCTGATTGGGAGGATCAAGGTGTGGAACCAATCAGATCAAGTAATTCACAAGACCCCACCTCTAAAACAACCAGGGCAAAATGAACTAGAGGTGTGGCTCAAGCAGTAGAGCACCTGCACTGCAAGAACAAAGCCCTGAGTTCAAACCTCAGTCCCACTTAAAAAAAAAAAAACTGTGGTAAAGCATATAATGTGATTTGTTTTCTTCCCTTTTTTTTTCTCTTTTGTCTTTTTGGCAGTGCTTACTGGATATTCTAGGAGTTGAGCCAAGCCCCCACCATTTTTTTTACTTTTTGCTTTAGTTATTTTTCACATAGGGTCTCATACTTTCTTGCACAGACTGGTGATCTTAGACCAGGATCCTCCTGCCTCCATGTCCTGAGTAGCTAGGATTACACACATGGGCCACCACAATTAGTTTATTTGTTGACATGGTGTATCATCCAGAGATTGGATCCTCCCAGTCTCTGCCTCTCAAATAGCTGGAATTACAGGTGCGAGCCACTGTACACAGCACAGAGTCTGTTTTCTAACCAAGGGGAAAACAAACTTCCTTTTTCCATATACTTTGGAGTCATATCTCCAATTTTAATCCAAAGAAAAAAACTTTAACTCCTAGTGTTTTTTTCTGAACCTCAATCTCACCAACAAGGAAAAAAATCCTGTAAAAAAAAAATGTTAGTCATATATATTTCTTGAACAGTTTGGCAGGGTTACCATATAACAACTAGAAGAAAAAAATCATTCATGATGAGGACTGGATGCTTCAGAGATCATGACAGTAATATAAAAACAACCAATCAATCTATGGAGTTTTTTTACTCAACTCAAATTTAAATTAGCTGAAGAAAGAAAGAAGGGTTTTTACTTCACTACTGAAGAATGAATTAGGAATATACCAGCTGTTCTAACTTGCCTTTGAGTTTCAGTGAGTCCTACACTAATGTAACATAGTTCTAGGTCAAGTTAGTCCAATGGACACTGAGTCTTTAACCAGGAATGAAGGCATACCAGGAATCTGAGAGGAAAAGACAGCAGGCAGCATTTCTTTACCACAGACACTGCCATTCATTTCAGTGGAAAACAGTTTCAGAAACACTTAGCTAACAGGTAGCCCAGCATGGTCCAAATTTATAATTTCATATTTCCATCATTAATTTAAGGACAAAAGCTGGCTTAAATAATAAACAATCACTGGGCGCCAGAGGCTCATGCCTATAATCCTACCTACTCAAGAGGCAGAGATCAGGAGGATCATGGTTCAAAGCCAGCCCAGGCAAACAGTTTGCATGACCCTATCTCAAAAATCCTATCACAAAAAACTGAGCTGGTGGGGTGGCTCAAAGTGAAGGCCCTGAGTTCAAGCCCCAGTACTGCAAAAAAATAAATTAAATAATCAAGTGGAAGAGGCAAGTAACAAAGATATTTCCTGCTCAAATTCCAGTTTCATACCATCATTAAATTTCTTTGTGGGCAAAAATTAAATTATAATTTATAACATAATCAGAAGTATATGCAGTGGGGACTGCATTTGGCTGACTTGAACCTGGAATGACACTTTTGTCCTAATTTAAACCAAGGAAGTTCCCAAGAATGAACTGACAGAGATTGGAGGTCAAGTAACCAGACTATCACATATCACCAATTTAACAAAGTAGTATCTTCCACTCAATTTCTTTGAATACTATTCACACAAGCATTCCAGGAAATGATACAAAATAGGACACTGATGCTTTATATTTTTATATGTTTTATGAAATTCTATGTTTTATGTTTTATATGTTTTTATGTATGTTTCAGAATGTTTTATGAAATTGTAATTGCACATAAACAATTTTTGCTCTCAATATTTTTGCTGACAAGAACTCTGCTCTGATAACCAAAAACACTGACTAGGATAAGACAGAAGCAGGAAATAAGAAGTATGCTATTTATATCCAGCTTTCATTTCTCCAGGCCTCACAAAACCTAACTGAATTCTGTGAGGACTCTACAGACATCACGCAGAAGCAAATACAGACACAAAATAAAAAACTTAGGACTTCACCAAAATGGTAAGATAGTCAGTGACATCAACTTTAAGAGTAGGGAAATTACCAAAGATAAAACTAAAAATTAGCACAACAGTTCAACTGAATAGAGGAATGATCAAAAAAAGTGTACCTAATGTCACTTAGCTTACCTAAATCTAGATTTGTTTTACCTTTTATGTTTGAAATCTTGTATCAGAATAGATTTTATACATTTTATACTGTTCTCTTATGATATTTATTTTTCCTCTGTCTTTGAACCACAAATTTCATAGTATAAAATTATCTTAATGTTTCCAAATTAGTTCAAGAAAATGCTTAATTTTTTTCAATTGTCCATAACATAACTATTTAAAACTAAAAGTCTTATTTAAAGCAAAACTCACAAAGATACCAAACTGCAAAGAGGTCACTATAAAAACATATAGTACCTGTATTATAAAAATAGGGGAAGACATCCTTCTCTGTACCACATCTGAACGAAATATAAAATTATATTTATAAGCTGATTATGTCAGAAACATCAGAAAAAGAGACTTTCTTTGGCAACCTTGTTCAACTCCTATACCGCCTTCTCTTGCCAGTATCTGCAGGTGCTATGGCCTTAATGGCTCAGATCTTTATCTCTTTTTTTGTCCTTCAGTTGGTACCCTAGGCCAAGTCCTCCTTAAAATCTCACTCTTCCTACTTACTTTGTTCTGTGTATAAGCCAGAAATGGTACTAATCATGACTGATGCAAAAGTAGTAACAACTATTTACACAATGCCTAGCATAAATCATATTTTGGGCCCAGCTTATTTCTAGTCCTCACATCATCTAACAAAGATATTACTAAACCCATTTGGTAGATGTTTAAGTACTCTACTTGGAGTCACATAGACAATAAATAGAAAATCAGGACTCAAATGCCATTCTAATTGGCCCTGAATTCTGCTCTTCTTCTTCCACTAGAAAAGTAGCACAAATCTGAGACAAATGAAGTCCACGGGCCCACTCTTCTCCACCCCAGGAAAATGTCCCCAAATCCTCTTCACTGCCACTTTTTCCTATCGTTGTCTGCATCATTTTCTTGTGCTTTTTATTACATTTAACATTTTATATTATTAACTAAATAGGCTTTTATTAACTAGTATGGATTCTTTTTCTTTTTGGTTGCCTCACACTTGCTAGACCAGCATACTACCACTTGAGCCTTGGCAACACAAAATTCTTCTTATGGGAAAATGAGTAATGAGTTACAAACCATTACTCTTAAGAGTGAACTCTTAAGAGTGGCAGTGCAGCAGTGAGGTTATCCAAGGCCTGACTGTTGCTAGTTGAAAACTTTCCCAGAATCCTGCCAAGACTTTAAATGTAGTCGGCACTAAATTTCTGACAGCCTCTACAGACTGAACATAAAAATAAATACATTTTTTTAAAAAACAAAATAAAAGTAAACTTTTAAAATACAACCCACTTTATAAGCCAAGAACATCCTTTCACCACTGTATTTGAGAACAGGGGTACATGATGGTCTCTCCTTATAACTGAAAAAGTGTACTTCTTAGTAGTCCTAAGTTCTGATCCCTAAAAGCAACTTACTAATACAGAAGAAAACAAACTAGCATTCAAGATCTCTACTGTATCTGGAAATCAAGTTTCAGCAGAACCCAGTCCCATTCATTCGTTTGTATCGTGCTATGGATGCTCTCTCATGACAGTTGAGACAAACTCTCTGCTCTGGGACACCTAAAATACTTACTATTTGGCCCTTTATAGAAAGAATTTGCCAAAGCCTAAGCTTTATTTTTACCTTATCAACTACTTTATCTAGCTAGCTAAAGAAACTAGCTTACTGATTGCAAAGAATACTGACAAAATGACAAAACATCAAAGTGAGTGGGAAGTAAGGGTTAAGCGAAGTCTGGATGACATTAGCACACATTAAGAAACTATCACTGAATTGTGAAATTTAGGCATGAATTGTTGCTTTAATAAAGGCTGGGTATATAATGTACAGCTGTAATTTCAGCACAGGAGGCAGTGGCAGGAAGATTGGGAGTTCAAGGTCAGCTTGGGCTACACAGTGAGGCCCTGACTCAAAAAAAAAAAAAAAAAAAGTTGCTTCAATCTCACCTAGCAGGTGAATAAAAGAAAGATACTGAACAATTCTACCTGTTCACCATTTCCAAATAATAAAATCCTAGCATTTGCTCATGAAAAGAACGTTTCCTAGGTTTTCGTCAAAGGGACAGCGTGGTACATAGTGAAAAACATCTTCCATATTATGGTTCTATAAAGTTAATATAATAGCAAGCTTCATACAGCTGCGCTAATATGGAATGTTGTTACATAAATACTTAAATGTAGGTTAAATAAAATAAAACATCTATAAATCCAACCAAGAGTCAAAGAAATAGCTAACATGCCCATCCCCCATTCTGCTGGATCTGGGCATAAAATGTGGGAAGGAAGAATAATATGACAGTGTATAAAGGAACGCATCACCTTTTGCAGGTGTTTACATACTAACACCAGTGTCTCTCCCAAAAAGCACAGAGCAGATCCTGTACCAATAGTGAGTGTACAAACGGACTTAAGAAGCCTTACATTGAGGGCTTTTCATTCATTCAGAGATAATGGACTAGTATCAGCAAAGCTAACTGGACAGGCAAGAGGACAAACAAATAGGCACTACAGGTACAGACACAATTATCCTTAAAAAGAGATTCCACCCAAATGTATACTGAAGACTTAACTGTGCTAAAATCATATTATGTTAAAATGAAATTAGTGAACCAAAATATTTTCATCATCTCTTCATATGTGTTTAAGGGACGTTAAAGCAAGGTCTGTCTGATGACTGACTAAATGAAGAAATCAGGGAATAATGTGTATTATTCCTTACCCATTCCATAGTAAATGAGTCAGGTTTTTTCCCCCCTTATTATTCCCTCCCTACTTATGGAATATTTAGGTACTAATACATATCTTTTAATGTTGCCTTTTAATACATCATATCAGGGGAAAAAGTCTTAATATTACCTTCTGTAGAAGCTGCATCAATCATTACTCTTTGCATGAGTACTGGTTCCAATCCAAAGTCGAAAACTATGGTTTGGCGAAAAGTTCCAAATATTTCTGTGTTAAATGCTATCCCGACTTTATATACGTAATGATCTAATCCATTTTGGGCCATCTTTCCTCCTATCCATTCTTGACAGTTTTCTGGGACTTCTTGTGATACCTGGGTAGTACTGTCTCCGGCAGATATTGCAAAGATACTAAAATGAGGACGATGAGCATCATAAAGCAATGCTACACGATACAGCATTCTTGCAGGCTACAAGGAAGTTAAAATAATTTATTGAGTACAAGGGGACGAAATATCCAATTGTAATTGGGCTCTTCAATGAAAATATTTCCATAAGGGACTCTCTCATGTTTCAATGATACTATGTTCAAAATACAAATTGAGCTTAGCCAATGATTTTTTTATGAAAAAAATCAGAATGGTGGAAAAAAAAAAGAAAGCAAACAGTTGTTACATGACATATTTATGCTGTATCACTAGCTTCCATGCTCCTTCAGTGATGTGCTCCTCTTTCACTGTGGCAAAATCTATCACCTGTATCACCCTCAACCTCCAACTTTCAATACCCTTTGCCCAAAAAAAGTTTAGGAGCCCCAAGAAGGAAGCCTTTATAGGAGGGTAACTGCCTCTGAAAGCACTGGATTGGGTTCATGGCTGGAGCTAAAGATTCTTAAGATTTTTCATCTCCAGATATAGACAGTACAGTGGAGAAAACACCATCGAACAGAACACAAAACTTTTCCACTGAACATATTCACTGAAATTTTTGAGTGTGCTTTAATCCTAAACTTTGACTATTATAGCTTAATGAGAAGCACTGCAGAAAATGTCTTATGTGAAAAACTCATTACAGAATTTGTGATTTCATCAAATCAAATAAAAAACAAGTGTCACTTTTAAAGATTTGAAAACTTTCAGATTAAAACAATTTGTATTTAATTGTAAGCCATGAACCCCATCCTATGTTCCAAGTTTAAAAGACTTCTTTACCAAATAAGTTAAGTGCCTAAACATTTACAATGGTCTTATCTCAAAGTAAAAAAGGAATTGTACTTTGAATGAGTGAAATACAGAAATGTATATTAGCACAATATAAAACCTACATATGATGTACTGAGATTAAAACATTTTCAATGCTCTCTTAACATAGAGAATTAAAGGGTCAAAAAAGCTTCAAGAAAACAGAAAAAAAAAAAAACCAAAGTGTATTATTTAATTAGCACAAAATTCCTACCTTACAAGTGAGAGCAAAGGTCCACATGTGGTGAGATTTTTTGGTGTTGACAATAATGGACAGGTCAGGATGATGCTCCACCTTTACTCCTTCCACACATTCACTAAGCTGAAAATACATAACAGGTGATGCTAGCTCTACGGCTGAAAACACAAATAACTGTCAACAGGAAAGACACTGATGGAACTACTCATCAAGCAAGGTATTCTATACATTTATTTTCAGCTATTTTTATAAGAATAAAATATAATAAAGCTGAAGTAAGAAATAGAAGAAAACAGCTACCAAAAACTGGCAATCAAAAACTGCCTGAAAGAAGGCAATTAATGTAATACCTGCAAATATCCAAACAAATGGTTTGCTTCTACCCTTTATTTTAATAAATGGGTCTACTTTTGCTACTAAAAACACCATATTATCAACAAGTTCTTCATGTACTAGGTAGGGGGAAAAAACTAAATATAGCACATGAAAAAGCCAAGACTCAAACAAGTTCATTGTTTAAGACAAACAACAACAAAAAAAGTTGTTTATTTTCCTCACCACTTTCTCAGGAGATAAAGAATTCATCCACTTTTCTATCAAGGTTTCCATATAACTGCCTGAGAGCTGTTTATTCTCGTTTTGCTGTTTCAGTTTTATCAACCGTGAAGCGTATCTTTTCTGCCATTCTGCTAGTTCTTCCTGGGAATGTGCTGAAGTACACTGTGCACCATACCTACAGATTCCTTGCTCTAAAAATCTAAGTGGAACAGGAAAGACTATTTTATTATACACTTTAACCATTTAACGATAAACTTCTAGTATTTGCCCTCTGTCTCTTCAATGACAAAAACAAATCATCTTCGGAAAGTCATATTTCTCAACTGTCAGGTACAAAGGAGGGGGAGAGTTTAGAGAACACGAGAACATTTGTAACCATCAGAATGTCACCCACACACCCACAGACACTGGTTTCTTCCTCTGGAATAAGGGGACTCTAAAGCACAACACATTCATAACCTCTCTGCCCACATAAAGACGTTGAAAAGTTGCTTCCCTTGTGATTTAAGACTTATCAGGCAATTCCTATGACAGCAGAATTTTTTCCCCTCAAAATTGGCTTTTGTGAAAGAGCAGAATTTTTAAAGCAACACTGACATCAAGTGGATTAGCTGCTCACACATAGGTATGCCCTACTTCCCAAAAATGATATGATCTCAGAAAATGTTCCAAGGGCCAGGAATTTCATTCTGAAAAAAAAAGATACTATTAAACCATCATTTTAAGATGCTTTTCACCTTCAAATGTAATGTTTTTACTCTTTCCTATATTATCATTACTCATATTTCACTGAAAATACTGGACAATACTGTTTCAAAGAAATTTAAATAAAATTGTTACAGTATTGAGTTACAAATTTATTTAGCAGTCAGTCAGTTCTTCAAGAGAACCTAAGTGTTTACTTCTAAGGAAACAGAGTTAATGGGTTCTCAGTGTTTGCCACTTAGAACACTAGGATAACTATACCTAACAATAAGGCAGTATATATTTCAAAAAAGCCAGAAGACTGAGTGTTCTCACCACTAAGAAATGACAATGTTTAAGGTGGTAAATATGCCAATCAACACTGATATGGTCACTAAACAATGTACACATATACTAAATGTATCCCATACATACGTACATATGTGTCAGTCAAAAAAAATTAAAAAGAAAAACTCAATTATTTGGTAGTTAAAATCAGAAAAATAAAGGCTTTGACCATAAAATTTTAAATACCCTGAAAAATTATGGCAAAGCCAGTCTTTACATCAGTGAAAACATTTTAAAATTGATAAAAGATCTTCTGAGAGAAAAAAAAGAAAATCAAACTACGACTATCAAAGCAGGCAGAAGAGAGATACTATGTTATAGGCAATTCTGAGCTGGAAAAAATATGACTAGTAAAAAACACAAACTGCACCACAGCACAATACGCATAGAGTGACTCATGTACTGAAAAGCAAAGTATAACCAAGTTTCTCCTGATGGTGCAATGAACGTTCCAGCTTAAAACCCTGCTACTTGTTTGTTAAGTTCCCCTATGGTTCTGAAGACACAGTTAAGGTCATATATCTAAATGTCATTTAAGAATAGTATGTGTCCATGAGCCAAAAAATTCTTCTTATGCTTTGCTTTAAATTATTTCCCTTAAATAAAAAAGGTCTTCTATTTATATCTGGACAATAAATCTCAGGTTTCCTTTTCATAGAATTGTGTTCTACTCGCCTACAACACGAAGCCAACTGTGATCTGCAATGTTTACTACTGATTTCTACAATTTCTACTATAAAACCACTGCTATCTTGACTATTCATTCACCAAAACTACCTATCAATTTTCAATCACTATCAAAAGCAATCTAAAGTAGTTAAGAACTTTTATCTAAAAATCCGACTAGTAACTAGTAACCTGTTCTTATAAAAAGAACTGGAGTTCACCTTTTTAAATGTGACTTTCATTTCTTTCTATATGCAACTCAAATTGCTAAATTTTGAAAGGTAAGCCCTTCAAATGTACATTATTCATGAATCCTATATAAGGTAAAAAGAAAATAGATATTTAGGAAAGTTATTAAAATAATTTGGAATGTCTACCTATTTTATGCTCTGCTTCATAAATTTATATAAAGTGATTTCAACTTCAACACCATATGAAGGTAAATTTCATAGTATATTAATGAGACTACCAATTAAGTTCAGCAACTGGTATTATGAAAAACTTCTGAACAAAGCCTTATCAACTTGCATTTATATCACTGCTGTTTGTAACTAAATGATGTCTCCTGGATATGGTTTTGACTTTTTTATTATTCAATAACAATGACCTTCAAGGAATCTGTTACAAATGGGAAATAAACCATTTTACTCATTATTATACTTTTTTCCTTCACGCATTCTTTGAATTTAAATTACTATTTTTCAAAAGCGAAGGAAAATTATCTATCTTTTCAACAAAGACATGTAATTGGTTTAAAAAAAAAAATTCACATTACCTTTTACACAAAGTATATTCCTCGCTGCTTGTGATTCCCCTAGGTGGTGGGCGGAAATGCCAACCATTACAAGACCCTAGGGAGTAATCAGGATATAGTCTTATCATTTGAGGCTACCTAGCAATTCTGATACTTTAATGTGCAGAAGTATATCATCCCTCCACACACATCGTCCCAGATGATGTAAAAAGGACATCAACATTTGCTTTTACTAATCAACCAAGTTCATCAATTGACTATGTGAAGCATGAGAATCACTGGGGAGGCAGTTACCCAGCAGTTTGGTCAATCTGGAGGCCCTGACTCTGCCCTAGCAACTGGTGGATCTATTTCCAGTGCAATCTTTTCTGTAAGAACTCAAGGAAAGAGGTCAGCATGATTGTCATTTCTTAAGCACGGGATGTGTCTTCATTAGGAATTCCCTCAGGAATGAAAAAAATGACTATATTCTGGAAGGAAATGTTGTATAACAAATTCCACTACTGTATATGGTGTGAGAAGAAGCTCCACATCTTCCATGTTCTTTAGGATGTATCTGACACATGTCCCTGTGTAATGTAATCCTTTTTGTAAGTGAAATAAAGTTCAAACAGTTCAGTTCTAACATAGGAGCTGAAAAAAAAACCATTTGTTTAATTTGGAATACCATGACCTTTCATTCACTTAGATGAGGTTCCAAATAAGCCAAAGTTAGGAGAGAAAAGACCAAATAGGCAATAGGGCTGACTCCTATACTCCTGGCTACTACAGAAGCAGAAATCAGAAGGATCATGGTTTGAGGCCAGCCCCTGGAAAATAAAGTTAGCAAGACCCCATCTCAACCAACTAGCTGGGCATGGTGGCAGGTGCATAGATAGGAGGATGGTACTGTAAGGCCAGCCCTAAGCAAAAATGGGAGGCCCTGCTTGAAAAACAAAACAAAAAAGGGCTAGGGGAGTGGCTCAAGTGGTAGAGTGCCTGCCTGGCAAGCATGAGAGAAAAAGGCTACAGTTTTAGCAGCTGAGCAGCCATTTTCTATTTCCTCACAAGTCACCACAGTGCCCAGCCCAAAGTGGGGGGGGGGGAGGCCCCCATGGGGGATTTAGCCAGGTTGAGTTTAAAGGTGTGCTTCATTCCTTACTAGCTGGATGACTTTGGGGAAACTACTAAACTTAATAAAAATCCATTTCAACACCTATCAAAAGGATGGAGGAGGACCCTAAGAAGTCAATACATAAAGTCACTATAGCAGTACACAGCATGAGGTAAGCACTCAATGAATGCTACTTTCTTCTGTTTCCTTTGGTACCATGGGAGAGAAAGAGATCACGAACTCTTAATCAGGGAGGGAAGAGCTCAGCTTACAAATCAGAACTTCCAAAAAACTAATAATTGTACTAGCCTAGAAGAGGGGCTTAGTGAAGGAAGTCTTCCTTCTGTGGATTGCTAAGGGGGGAGCTTAAATTCAATCCTACATGCAGGCATGAAGAGGAACCTGAACCTCTGGTGCTTCCCTCCATTATTCCACTATTATATGTAAAGGTGCCACGAAGAAAATTCTTTCTGTCCACACATACTTCTTAAAATTAAATTTTCATTTTCCTTCCTACATCTCCACTACATACATTGTAACTCAGTAAACTTCTTTCCAGTAACTCATAAAGAAATAAAGCACAGCATCACAGATACCACAAGTTACATAAAATTTGGTACTTACCCTCGTCTAACTCTTCCACTTGATGTCCAGAGAGGACATTACTAGTCGCAGTCTGCAATTTTTCAAATAAAAGTCATATAAGACAAATAAGAAATAACTAGCTGATGCTGAATTAAATTTGGATATTTTCAACATTAAAAATAAAGGTACAGTTTGCATATCCAGAAATTTTTATAACATCAGTATGTTGCAAGTGGTATTTTTTGCTCCTTGTTATATGTTAAACTATTTAACTTTGTTATATGTTAAACTATAACTATATATGGAAAAGAAGCACTTGACAGGCTCTCTTTCAGAAAACTGATAGCAAACTCCCTACATAAAAGCAGTCTAAGTTCTGAATCCCATTGGGTAGCCCCTTCCATCCTTGTTCATTTCACTCTCCTTCATAAAACCTAGAGAATGACCAAGGAGGGAGGTGCTTTTTCTCTTGCAATGAATGCCATACTACCACCTTGCCATCATGTTCCCCTAAATGTGGGATGAGTCCTTCTTCCATAATGGAGTAAAAGACTGGGGATTCACTTGCTGTAATTTCCTTAGACAAATACTCAATCTGTGCTTTAGACTCTAACTTTTTTTTTCCTTTTTCTTTTATTATTCATATGTGCATACAAGGCTTGGATCATTTCTCCCCCCTGCCCCCATCCCCTCCCTTACCACCCACTCCGTCCCCTCCCTCTCCCCCCCCTCAATACCCAGCAGAAACTATTTTGCCCTTATTTCTAATTTTGTTGTAGAGAGAGTATAAGCAATAATAGGAAGGAACAAGGGTTTTAGCTGGTTGAGATAAGGATAGCTATACAGGGAGTTGACTCACATTGATTTCCTGTGCGTGGGTGTTACCTTCTAGGTTAATTCTTTTTGATCTAACCTTTTCTCTAGTACCTGTTCCCCTTTTCCTATTGGCCTCAGTTGCTTTTAAGGTATCTGCTTTAGTTTCTCTGCGTTAAGGGTAACAAATGCTAGCTAGTTTTTTAGGTGTCTTACCTATCCTCACCCCTCCCTTGTGTGCTCTTGCTTTTATCATGTGCTCATAGTCTTTGCCCTTGATATAATGTCCACATATGAGGGAGAACATACGATTTTTGGTCTTTTGGGCCAGGCTAACCTCACTCAGAATGATGTTCTCCAATTCCATCCATTTACCAGCAAATGATAACATTTCGTTCTTCTTCATGGCTGCATAAAATTCCACTGTGTATAGATACCACATTTTCTTAATCCATTCGTCAGTGGTGGGGCATCTTGGCTGTTTCCATAACTTGGCTATTGTGAATAGTGCCGCAATAAACATGGGTGTGCAGGTGCCTCTGGAGTAACCTGTGTCACAGTCATTTGGGTATATCCCCAAGAGTGGTATTGCTGGATCAAATGGTAGATCGATGTCTAGCTTTTTAAGTAGCCTCCAAATTTTTTTCCAGAGTGGTTGTACTATAGACTCTAACTTTACCCTAAGTTCCACACTGCCAATTTCAGCCAAGTGACTACCATAATACTTTTATGTAACTATTCTACAGCATCTTATATGCTGAATCATTGCCAACATATATAGATTATGCATATAGATTTATTGTAATAGTATGCAGTAGCCTTTCTGCATTCCCAGACCTCACAGGATATCTGGCATATAATGAGTAGTCTGTAAATGTCAGATGGTTGGTTGGATGGATGGAAGAATGAATGGATGGATGGATGATCACTTAAGTACTTCAAACACTTATGTAAGTCCAAAACAAAATTCATCAACTTTATCCCAATCCTGAAAACCCCTCTATGGGAGTGGGGAGGGCGCTGAGGGGGAGGGACAATGGGGGCGATGTAAATAATGTGCAATATAAGACTGACTGGAATTGTCACTGAAAATCACCTTCCCTGTAAGAAGTTAGACTTCTTACAAATTCACAATCAAATTTATTAATTAGACATTTCAAATTTTACAAAACATACTGTTTTTGTCTTTATGAATCAGCATTTAGTTCCGAGCCGTTATTCTCATCCACTATTATTCCTATTTTTAAATGTTTATTAGCTTTATCTAGATGGATACTTTTTTTTTTTTAATAATATCAGTTCAGTAACCAAAAAGAACGTTACACTGCTTACGTAAAATTACAAACACAACTTAAGGGCTGGGGATGAAGCTCAGTGAGAAAGCGCTTCCTTCACGATTAGATACCTAATACTGCCAAAAAAAAAAAAAAAAAAAATCTTCTAGTGGGATAGTTAGAAAAATATAAGAGATATAAGTGATGTTTGTGTCCACACATGTATCAGAATTATAAACAGTAAAAACAAAAATTTTAGCCTGGTGCCAGCTAAGATTACACACCTATAATCCTAGCTACCTGGCAGGCTGAGATCAGAAGGATCAACGTTCAAAGCAAGCCCAGGCAAAGAGTTGACAAGACCCCCATTTCCAAAAAAAAATCTATAGCAAAATGGACTGGAGGTATGGCTCAAACAGTTACAGAGCCTGCTTTGCAAATGCAAAGCCTGTTCAAACCCCAGTTCCAACAAAAATAAGCAAATTAAAATTTTATATATTTGCATGTTATCGAATAAAAAGCTGGTGATTCAATTAAAATAATAAAAAAACAAAAACAAAAGTTTTGACAAATGAAAGGTTTTATCTTATGTTAATGTTTATAATTCTCTTCTGTTACTTCTTAGAAACTATAAAGACTACAGTGTGTATACAAGAAAGGAAGTGGCTTTAAAATTAATGGCAGCTTACTAATTCTTGGTTCACTCACAGTAAGGTAACATAAGACAAAGAAAATAATATTTTTTATAAAAGGCCAAATAGTAATAAGACAGTCTCTATGCAGCTTGCATAATCTACTGTAACTGCCTTCTTTGCTCACTGGTGGCACAAGCTAGGATATGTCACTCAATTTGGAATGGGAAAAGAATTCACAAGAGGTCAAGGCTGATGCCCAGGTCTCTACACATCCCTGTCATCTGAAGCAGTCTCTGTCTCACTCTCCATTCACCTTCAACCCTCAACTCTTGGATTTAGTGTTGGCCCCTGGCAGCCCAATCCAGTGAATTTTCTCCTGCAGAAAAGCTTATTTGTTTCCCTCAATATGAACTGTACGTATGGTGGCTTAAATAATTTGTTGTCTATCTGCTCCCCAAGACTTTAACCTCCCAGACAAGGACCATGGGTGTCTTGTTCAATGCTGTATCCCTAGCACCAAGCATAGTAGATGCTCAATTCTTGAAAAAAAATATGCAAAAAAAAAAAAAAACAATTACTTTATATGAGCTTCCACTTATGACAAAATTAAAAAATAGGTATTTTTAAAATAGGACAGCTAAATAAAAATGTTTTTATATGCTTGGATAAGGAAGAGAAATGTGAGGCTCAGAAAACTGTGTACCTTTTACATGTTGCTGCTGTCCCTGAACTTCCACATTCTGTCACTACGGCACATTTTGGTTCACCATTTACCTTGATATACCTCATTTCTGTCTCCTAAACCTATTCCCTAAAAACAATCCAGTCACAGACTTCCTTGTTCTTTAAAACAATACAGAAGGCTTAAGGAATATTCTGTTTTGGTTTTGTTTTTTCAGTATCACATTTTTAGTGGCAGTATCTTCTAACTTTCAGAAGTAGATTCAAATTAAAATTTCCCAAACAGCTGTTCCATTTTGAGACCAGAGATAACTGGTAAGAATTAGGGACAGAACATAAGACCTGGGATACAGAGGACATGTGAGAATCAGCGACACTTTTTGGTTTGGTTTCTTTGCGTGAATTTAGGGCCTCACATGCTTGTGAGGCAAGTGCTCTACTCCTTGAGACCTGCCCCAGCTAGAAGGAATGCTCAGCAACAGCAACAAGCTGTCCAAATTTTAACACAGCAGGCTTTACCAGCCAGACTGAGTTAACACAGCTTCAAAAAGATCCTTGAAATAAACATACCTCTGTTTCTGTGAGAAGTGTTTTCAGTCTTGTTAAATCTTTTGTTACCATCCCATTCTGAAAGGGTGAAAGAAAAAGAGAAAAAACAATCAATGTACTATTTCTTCACTGTGGCAACTCAGTTTCATTCCTCAGTTATTTCTAAAGTTTATCTGTAAGACACAATGTTACCTTCTTCCCCTCACCCCCACACTATCATCAATGCTAGTAATAAAGCTACACATTTGTAAGCAAAGTTAGAAAGTTAACAAGAAAAACTGTTTAGAGTGCCTTTTCTATAAGTAAGAAAACTATTCACCTTATGCAAGAGCTTAAAATTAATTCAATAAAATACTGCAACAGGTATCACTGTAGCGCAAATATTGTAAGTGAAAAGAAATAAATCTCACATTGTTTTATACTTTTTCTAGGACTAATGAGCTTATATGTGCAAAATGGTCAACTCAAGCAGTTAGCCATGACTCAGAGATTCATATAAAATCCTATCATTTCAAAGTTGGATCATTAATAAAGTTATGGAATGAAAACATTCACTTTCCTGAAATTCAAATTTCAGAAAACTTGACACTCAAAACAAATAACTTTTTGCTAGCTTAAAGTTTAAAAACCTAGCAGGAAAAAATGGAAAATCTTTAATGTATAAAGCAAAGCCCCTTAAAGATAAAGTTATCTTAGTTATAAAGAATATTCTTTGCCATCTACTTAGAACTAAATAGCTATATAATTTTATTATATTCACACTTGTGAATCTGGTGAAATCAACACACTGTCAAATTTTTAAAAAAGCAATTCACGGCATACTAATTCCTTAAAAAATGATTAATTCCCCCAAGATACATCACTACATTACACTCAACATACCAAGTACTCTCCTAATTTCTATATTTTTACCAAATATATTTCTTTACAGTAAAAAATGCTCGATAGTGTCACAATCCAATTAATTCACAAGAATCAATAAGGAACAAAGAACTCACACTGTGCCATAAAATAAACATATACTTTGTTTTCTAGTTTTACATAATGATTCCCGAAAAGTGTCAGTAAACTTTGTAATAGTTACCAACTGGTGAAAACAAATTATATCTCTTTTCTTCCAATGTCTACAGATTACCAATTCTAAAGTTCCAAAATGTACTCTTTCAATTATCTCAACCAAAACAAAAAAAACCTTTGCCTGGGGATGTAGCTCAGTGATTAAGTGTTTGCCTAGCATGCACAAGGCCCTGCCTTCGATACCCAGTATCAAAAAAAAAACCTTAATATTAGAGCTGGGACATGGCTTAAGTGATAAAGTGCCTACTTAGCAAGTTTGAGGCCCTGAGTTCAAAAACCAGTACCACCCAAAAAAAAAAAAGAACAAACAAACAAAAAAACCCCACAAATCTAGAAAAGTAAATGCTATGTAAAAAGATTTATTCTAAAGTCTGAATATAATTAGATGGTTCCATCAGAGTAGTTATGGATATTTTTCTACACATATACCATCTTCAGAAACACAATTATTATACATGCAAACAAGAATTTTAAAAAGAGGTAATTATTATTTAGTTTAGGCAGACTTAAAACATTTTGTGAAATAAACAGTTGAATTCAAGGACCCTAGCCAAGCAGGGTAGTATACTCCTATATTCTAGCACTCAGGAACCTAATGCAGGTGAGACCCTGTCTCAAAACAACAACAAAAGCACAAGAACTCTATAAGGTTATAAGTCCATATGAGCATTTTAAAACCCCAAAATATTGGGCTCTGTTACATTATACCTTTAATCCTTTAGTTATCCTAAACTTCCAAGTTTATTAAAAGTACCTATGACTTTTCTATACACTATTGCAAACTGTAAGAATCCAATGATTAAACATTAATTTATTCAAAAGAAATGAGCACCTCAAGATTTTCATGAATTTTGATTTCTGGTAGGAAGAACTACGAGGAAAAATGACTCTGTGTTCATGCACTGAAACCCTAGCTCATCCACGTACCAGGGACTCTCCGGTCAGTGACTTGGTAAGGATGGAGGACACAGGTTGGAGCTTTCCTTTCAGCTGCATGCAGCACAGCACTGCCCGAAAGGCACCCTCTCCCTTGGCCAGTCCTTCTCCCAACACTACCATGGAAGAACAGCATCATTAACCACATGGCATCCAACCACATTTTTCTTGATTACAATATTAACACATTACCACAAGCATGGCTTCTTATATGCAAAAAGAATAACTGCAAACACAAGAAGAAAGCAGTGGTATTTCAATTCTAAGACATGCATATAAACAAGAAAAAACACCAGACAAATCAACATATTAAACCTATTACAACCTGCAACCAACTAGTATCACATCAAAATCACAGGGAGAAGTAATCGTAAAACTCTCTCCAGTATGCAGCTTGCTAGAATAACTTCCCAGGTTCTTCCCAGGTTCCATTGCACAACAGGCTAGCTATGGTCAATAGCAATTGTGTATTTCAAAACATTTAGCACAGAAGATTTTGAATATTCCCAACACAAAGAAATGATAAATGTATGAGATGATAAATACGGTAATTACCCTGATCTGATCATTACATACTGTATACTTGGTCTTGAAATATTACCCCGTAACCCACAAATGTGTACACTTATTATATGTCAACTAAAAAAAAAACAAACAAACAAACAAACAAAAAAAACCAAACAAACTTTGGTGATTTTTTTGGGGGCGGGGAGCAGTACTAGGGTTTGAACTCAGGACCTCAAACTTGCTAGGTAGGCACTTTACCACTTGAGCCACTCCACCAGCTAATTTTTTCTTCTTTTTTAAAGGCGCTAGCCAGACATGAAGGTGCATACCTGTGGTCCCAGCTACTCAGGAGGCTGAGGCAGGAGAACAACTTGAGCACCACTTGTTCCAGACCAGACTGGGCAACACAATGAGAGCCCATCTCAAAAAAAAAACTTCTCCAGTGAGTAACTGTTCAACCTATGATTTCAAGCTAAATATGAGCTTTTAAAACTGCAGATTTTCTAGCTGACCAAATTCTCATGTTTTTGACAGTGACACAAGATCCTGTGCTATTAAAATGCACAATAGAAACTGCAAATCTCAGTATTAGATATTCCTAATATCTAATCAGTTAAGGATTAGCCTATACTGAAAAGGCGCTGGTGCCTCACGCCTGTAATCCTAGCTATTCAGGAGACAGAGATGAGGAGGATGGCAGTTCGAAGCCAGCCCAGGGAAATAATTAACTAGGCCCTATCTCGGAACAAAACCCTTCACAAGAAAAGAGCTGGTAAAGTGGCTCAAGGTGTAGGCTCTGAGTTCAAACCCCAGAACCGCCAACTGGGATTTGTGTTATCCAACACAAAAAAGGGCTGGCTATGAATATTATAAAGTACAAGAAGCCATAGAGGATTCCCTTGTTTTGGATCAAAGGTGCAGATATGTTTCCCATCCAAACCTTCAAACTTCAGTCTCCAGATGTCATTCTCACAATTCTGATAACTGTGACTGCAGAAAAATCAAAATCTATGCTATACAGGGTTTTTTCCACCTCTAATAAACTAAGAGCTGGTAGAGTGGCTCAAGTGGCATAAGGCCCTGAGTTCAAACTTCAGTATCACCAAAAGAAAACAATCAGCATTTATCAAATTCAACAAGATTAATGTCCAATGGCTACAGAAAATGCTACCCAAATTGTTTGCCGGTCTTTGTGGATTTAGTATGATCCCAAGGATCACAAGAATCTCTATTATTTCTAGCAATACAGAATATAATCATTTTTATGGCATGTCATTTGAGACTATTTCTCATAGCAACTGCTAATGGTTCAATTAATAAAGCAATGTGTATCCTTCTCTTGACTCCTAAGCCCAAGGTTCTATTATTAGTGTGCACATACATTAGTCTTCCTGTATATGAAAATAATTTGCTAAAAGAAAATATTTTTGAAATGTTACCCTATTTCCAGTTATTTCCATGATAATGTTCCTTTTAAGTATCATATAAGATTATAGTGTATATAAAGTCCATTGGATCTGTTCATCAAATATTTGAGTTGAACTGAATATATTCTCACTATATTGTTGAATTTTTTTATCACACATCATCTTATTTTTTCTTTTATCATACATCATAACACTAATAAAATCCTACATAAAATACTGTTCTGCAATTTCCATCAATACTTACATAATTTCACATTATTATAAATAACAAACATGGTAGTTCTTATACTGTGCATTCTCCACTCAGCAAATTTAGTATTTTTGTTAATAGTGTTCTTATTTACCATATTTCTGGCTAAATAATGTTCCGTCAAGTAGATACATCAATTTATTTAACTATTCCCTTGCTCCAGAAGGATTCTAATTTTTAGCTTTTTTAAAAATAACATTGTAAGAACCTGTGTAAATGCCACAATGTATCCCCACTCATCATAACAATAAAAGAAAAAATAAATAAAATTCTATGATTTTAGCTTTTATATTTAAAAAAAATTGTGTTAGGCATGGTGGTACACCTCTCTAATCCCAGCACTCAGGAGGCTGAGGCAAGAGGATCATGGGTTCAAGAACAGCCAAAGCTGCTTATTGAGACACTGTTTCAAAAAAAAAAAAAAAACTTCAATAAACATCTTCATGTATATACTCCTACTTGAATCCAATGACTAAATTGAAAGTTGCAATATCTCTGTATTAAGAAGGTTGTATTCGGGCAAACCCATAGTTTCACTTTATCTATGTTACAGATCACCTATCTACAACTGTGACTGGATGATTCCAGTAAGTGAGATGCCTAAGCATCTTACAACATTCCGCGGTAAGCCCTCTCTCTCAGAGCTCACTATTCCTAAAACTATTTCAATATGACCTTGGGCCAGTCACTTTCCCTCCCTTGCCTTCAGTGTGGTCATCTGTATACACAAAGCAACATGTAAAAATCTCTGTAAGGATCAAATGAGGTAAGACAAGTAAAATGCTCTGAAGAAAGACAGAAGTCCTACTGTTTCCTCCCTTGTAACTGGAGGTGACAGTGGAGACCTCATAAGATTGTGATAAAGATTAACTATACTAACTAGATAAAGTATCTAGCAGTCTTTGGATTGTGCTCCTTCATGTACCTTCTACTAATACTTCTAAAGTAACACTGACAATTTCCTTTTTAGTAACTGGGAAATTAAGAAACTAATTGTTACAATCTGCTACAGAGGCTCACAACTATAATCCTAGCTACTTGAGAGGCTGAGATCAGGATGACCGAGGTTCAAAGCCAGCTCATACAAATAGTTTGCAAGACCCCATCTCCAAAATAACCAGAGCAAAACAGACTGGAGGTATGGCTCAAGCAGTAGAGTACCTACTTTGCAAGCATGAAGCCTGAGTTCAAACCCCAGTCTCATCCCCCGCAAAAAAAGAGAGAACCCTCACTTCAGAGATGTATATGTCATACGGTTACAGCAAAGTTTAACTTCTGGCAACTGTCTGGTAACCAAAGTAAGCTTTTTCTATAGAAAGTGATTAATTTAACTGTGTTAAAACTTTTCCCTGGCCTCCTTCTCAATTTTAGAAGTCAACATCTTGCTGTCTCTGTTGCAAGACCCCAAGGAACATAAATCCTAATTGTGGAAAACAGCAAGACTTTTTCATATCTTCTGCTCAGGCACTCCCTTACTTCATTATTTCCCAGGTTGATCTGCTTACTGTTTTTTTCTTTTTTCTTTTTTTTAAACTAATTTTGCTTACTGAGAAAATAACACATTAGCTACTTTTCTATGTTTCTTAATACTCTGGGAGAGTTCTGTTCCCAAATGTTCACAATAACCTTTTTTTTTTTCTTTTGCAGTAATGGAATTTGAATTCAGAGTCTACACCTTAAGCCACTCCACCAGCCCAGGCTGGCTTCCTGATTTCTGTCTCCTGAGTAGCTAGGATTACAGGTGTGAGCCAGTGCCTGTCTGTTCACTACAATCTTTAATCTCAGTTCCATATTTGGCACATACAATTTATTAAAATTGTATGAGGCAAGGCATCATTTATTTTAAACCTCCTTTTATACATAAATATAATTCCAGGGTTAGGAGATAGCGCAGTCATAGAGCACTTGCCTAGCATTCACAAGGCCCTGGGTTCAATTCCTAGCACTACAAAAAAAATTTTTTTCAGTTAATATAAAATTAACACTAACAAGTATTCCATGAATAAAAACCACCATGAAAGATACCTAAAAGTACTACCCATAACTATAGGTGCACAATTACAAATTGTCTAGAGCAAGCAATGAGTCCTACCCACCATGATAACGGTTTTCCTTAAAGATCTGTTAATACTAAAAAGAAATGTTTACATATTTAAAGGGTAACAGTTGTCAAACTTAACTCAAATATTAAACTTTCACTTCTCTAAGATTCTGTCCCAAAATTAGTATTAGTATCCTATAATTTAAATTTCATTCCTAGCAATTTAAATATAAGAACTTCATTTAAAAGTTAATAGGCATTATGGGAAAATTAAGAGTGAACGTCAGGGACTAGCAAAGTGGCTCAAGTGGTAAAGCACCTGCCTAGCATGGGAGACCCAGAGTTCAATCCCCACTATCAAGGGGCGGGGGAGGAAGAGTGAAAGTCAGTATCCCATTCCATAAAACCTTAAATTCCTGTTGGAGAACAAAATTGTGAACTATTGATACATACAAATTGGATGGATCTCAAGGGCATTGTGGTGAGCGAAAATAGCCATTTCTAAAGGTCATGTGCTGTTATCTAACACTGGCAAACTAGAGATGAAAAGCCTAGGGTTAGGAAGAGTGGGAAGGATGGCAGGTGTGATTAAAAAGGATTGTCATGGTGATAAAGCAGTTACGTTCCTTGAATGATTGTTGGCTACAGGAATCTATGTGATAAATGACACAGAATATATACACTCATTAGGCTAATATCAATTTCCTGGATTGATACTGTACTAACCACTGCGGGTAAGTGAGTGAATGGTACAAGCCTCTCTACACTATCTTTGCAACGTTCTATGAATCTATGATCATTTCAAAGCAAAGATTTTTTAAATTCTCACTGGAGCAATAAAGCTGTGTGTACAGTAGATGTCCTGTTCTGTTTGGGGTTGCAAGCACTCCA